CAGAGTTTTGTTTTTTCCTTGCAAAATTCAAAGACCTGTATAACTTACCTTCTACAGTGATGGCTTTCAATAGTAAAGGAAATAACAGTGGTCATTCCTACTACAAACAAAAATGTAAAGTGAATGAGAATGTAAAATACTCGAAAAATCTATCCAAAGTAGACATTTGTAAGAGATTTAGAATGAAGTGTTTTAGTGGAAGAATAAAATTTTGTTTTCTCAAGTAACTGTGACACAAAGACTCTAAAAGGTAAAAGTACAGTACAGTATTATAATTTTTCAGATTCTAGCAAAGGTGTTGACAAAAAGGAAGACTTTACATGAGCCTAATTTACAGAAAGTGGCCATTACACTTTATGAGAGATTCAAATTGAAACAGTCTAAAGCCTCACCTGCATTTCCTCCAATATAATTAATGAAATGGGTGAATATAATTTATGACAAGATGAATTTGACTGATAAGTGTGTGTGTGTGTGTGTATTTTCTGAAAGGCTGTTGGGGTTGTTGACTTAATTCACATTGCATCATGACTTAGAAGGCTCGCTGTAACTGATGAGCAAAAAACTGCCAATCATAAAACTGCTTAAATATACAGTACTGTATACTGTTTTCATCTGTAAAATAAATATACTATAATACATGTGCTTAAATAACAAAACAAAATTTCCCCAAAAATCTAATATAAACACCAACAAATGCGGCCACTCGTACATCACTGGTGAATGATGCAGTACTATATTTTACTGTTTTATTTCCTTTATTTCTTTTTACACATATTGTTCATTTTCACATGTGTATATATATCTTAATGTTAGAATTATAGAAAAGAAAGCTTTCATAATGTCAAATGGGCTGTCAAAGTTGCTAATTCATGACTTTTGGAAAGGCCTTGATCCTGAGGATTCCTGATATTAAAGATTACTATATATAGATGAATGAATTTGTTAACTATACCGTAGAAAGTGTATAGAAACGCTATTAGTGAGAGAATTAAGAAAAAAAGGATGGTAAATTTATAAAAGGATGAGATATAAGTTTTTGTATAAGAGTGAAAATTTCTGGAGAAGAGGAAGACTTGGTGTTAAATATAGATCTATAAAAACATACAATAGAATAGATAAAGAAAGTATTATGGGAGGTATTGAAAATGTATGGGACACATAATTATAAGTCCAATGGCAAACATCATATCAATGGAGTAAGTAACCCACTAGCTGTTGAATGGTGGTGAAGTAACCCTTCCAAGGACTGACTTCATGTTAAGAGGGTTGGATAACCACTTGTTGATGAATGATGGTGCTCATCAATATAGTTGGTGGCTTGCCTAGTACATATGGGTCATGTCAAAAAACATCCATTACTTCTAGGTTGAGCTTAGCCTTGGATTATCCTCACCCTGCTTGTCAGTATGGTTCTGGCTGACTGTCTTCCCCCTACACTGCAACAGTTTCCTGGGATCATCTTAGGTCACAGGTTTGAGTCATGTGATATAACTGGCACCACCAATGATATTGAATGAAAATGATTTGGTGTTAACACAGAAAAAATTAACTTAACATTTATGATGATATGGGGTGAACTTGGAGGAGAGCAGTGATGTTTTTGCTGCCCCAAATGACTGAATTATTGCCGATTCTGTCAAAACAACATTATCTAAACTTCAGTTATATACTGTAGAGGTAAGTTATCAGGCTATTTGTTGTTTCCTTAACATGATTTTTTTACAATTGGGTAAAGAAACACTTGATTTGGTAATGAGTCTTGAGAGATCTGGTAATGACAGTAAAATCAGACTTGGCAATACGGTGCCGCACCACCCTTAAGGTGTAGTTCCCAGATACCAATGTTTGAACGAATCATACTGAAAACTGTGACATCACTTGGCAGGAAGAGCGTACTTTGGTTTCTTCCTGTACTAACACTGGACAATAAAGTTCATAACAAAGTAATAAGGAATGAACCAACCATCTGAACAGCTAGTGGTGAAATGATATTTGAATGTAGGGTCTGTGGGCATAGATTGATTGCATGGATTATAGATGTGTAGGACAGTCATTCATAGCTTTAATGCCTTTATTTCTTGAATAAATTTTTGGGGGGAAAATGCAAGAATTTCTGGGATAATGGAATGTACCTTTAATTTCTCAGAAAAAGTTAACTTTGAGAGTTTACCTTGATTTGCAAACAAGATCTTCCAACACTGAAACTCGTTCTCTATCAAGGGTTTACTGTATATACAGTATACAACAAATTACTCTGTACAGCAAATGAATATTGTGAAATATGGCAATGAAACTGACATTACAATATTGGTAATGAAGTAACTGATGAAATATGTAAAATTAATAAAAAAAGACAAAAAATAAAGGACTGAAATATAAAATATAATTTTGTGACTGGGGGAAAGAGATGAGTCACCTGTGAGATCCAAACCATTAAAAGACCTGGCCAGGCCTGCCTTTGTCAGAGGACTAGATATGTTTAGTGAGTTTACTCTATCAGTACAGATAAAACTTTCACTAAAAGGCAATTATTGATCCAAATTGTTTCAGGGTAAAGGATTTAATCCCATTTGATCCAGTGGTTGTCTAAGGACCAGTGAGGGATTCAACCCAAGCACTATGCTTATACATTATGAACCTTCAGCCATACAATGAAAGTCATACTACAATGCTCCCCCAAACAGCCACAAGATTAGCTGCCAAAATGGGCTCAAAGTAGTTTGATTTATGAAATATCAAAGTCAACTTTTTATGGGAGTTGGTCTGGCATGGGTGAGCTCATAATTGTTTTTGGTTTTGTTTTCTTTTCAACCACAATTAAAATACATTTTAAACAGCATGTACAAGTTTTACCAGTAGAACTTCATTACTTCACCTCACATACATTTACCATCACATTTTGCTGCTCAATTTATCAGCCCTAGTTAAATTGTATATCACCCACTAAATTCTTTTCTCTGTCCATTCAAATGTGGTGCAATGGAAAGACTGGGAGCACCACACTGGCTATTTCCAAATTTTCTAAGCTTAGCGAGTCAGCTTACCCAGACAGGTGGATGCTGTCCCAAGCACTTACTGTACTTCTCTAGCCCAGTCTACACTTTGTCTAAATTAGATACACTTGGCATTTAGTGTGGTAATCCTATGGTTTGTTTTCCTTTATCATGTATGCGGTGTTTATCTCTTTATCTAGTGTTTCAGTTCCTCATACTAGGGAGAGTGGACTACTGTACTGTATGTGTCAGTTGCCTATTTGAGACAACTACCAGATCAAAGAGGATTGAATCCCCAACTCTGAGTCAACTAGGTAAGAAGGGATGCATTGGAACAAAAGCTTTATCCATACATATTAAATAATCTCCCACAAAACTCATTTAGCCCACTGATAAAGGCAGGGTAGCAAGAGGGCGTGTTACTGGTATGAATCTTCCAGTTCATTCATTGATGCCCCATAAGACATAAAATTTGCATGTATGAAAAAGCCATTCCTGAGCATCTGTTCACACAAGGCATTTTCAAAAATCACCATAACCATTATAAGAACACCATAAGACAAACTATACAGACCATCCACTCATAAAACAAGCTATACAGACCATCCACTCATAAGACAAGCTATACAGACCATCCACTCATAAGACATGCTACATCCACTCATAGATTAAGACAAGCTTACAGACCATCCACTATAAAACAAGCTATACAGACCATCCACTCATAAGACAAGCTATACAGACCATCCACTCATAAGACATGCTACATCCACTCATAGATTAAGACAAGCTTACAGACCATCCACTCACATGTACTCGAGTCATTCACCAGAATAACACAAAGTAGAGACCAACCAATCACGAACATGCCAAAAGCTACCACCCAACCCACTGTATCTTTAGGAAATATTCTTTATACCTGAAGTCACGAGGATCCTTTATAAAGACACTTTACGAAAATGATAAAGTTACCTTGAAATAAGAACATCACACTTAAGCTGACGAAATTTAGTGTGATTACAATAACAAGTGAGCCAAACGAGCTGACTCAGTTGAGGATCACATAAACTATTGTTAGGATGGCAGTGAACTGATAACCACATCTCAATGGGAAGCAGCAAAAGTTTCTGAATAAAAATTTAGAAGAAAACAAAAACCAGTTCATATAAAAATCAGCAATCTTTGGGATACAGAATAAGGATATTGAATCACATTATCCTTGCAAGGGTTGGTAAATTATAAACCTTGAAACTTCCTTGACCTAAGCTATATTGACAGAATACTGAAAAAAAAATATTAACCCATACACCTTATATACCGTTGATGTATGTATTATACACATTAACATGAAATACTTATTGAAAAAAAAATACTTCCAAAATACTCTTCTCCATTATGTACTTTCTGTAATGTAACAAAATATATCAAACATCTGTCAAAAATAACGTTAAAGTCCCCTGTTTATTATAAATCCTTTGGCACAATCGATATTCAACAGTCAACTTCTACTGCCTTAAAGACAAACTACAATAAACTCTTTAAATACTCCATCTTGAAAATGAAGTATTATTATTAACCTGCAAATATTTTTATCACTGTTAATAGTTTCAGGATTGTCATTTGCATACACTCAAGATGAACCCATTATGTCTCTTGCTTCATGAAGGCTCTTTTAGTGGTATTTGAACCTTATCAATCAACTGTGTGGTTCGAAGGATGAATCAACCAGTTTGTCATGATGATTCAAGATACAAAATACTATTACTTGTATTATGTTTAGGATGCAGTCAGAATCCATTTAGGGCACAACCTGAATCTCTTTAGGGCAGTCAGAATCCATTAAGGACACAATCTGAATCCATTTAGGACACACTCAGAATCCTAGACAATATATTGTTTTCAGTAAGAGCAAAGTATAATGTAGTTCAACTTCATCATACTTCTAGCTGGACTGATTATCTGGATGGCTCTCTAATACAAGAAACAAAACAAAGGTCATTATGCTAATATTTCTAGTTGGACTAAATTTATGCTTGCTTCTCTAATATTTTTTTGTTTTCTAAATACTGTTTTTTTTATTAATATTACTGGTCAATCTTGGCATTAGAAACATATACTCTAAGAGCTTTCTCTGAGTGAATCTAATTGAAAATGTTCCAATATTTTTCATTGTAACTTTCAATGTGTACAATACAGAAAGAGTCTTGATAATTAAGCTACTTCAACTACCTCTCAGATTCTTTTTCAAGAATATAACTAACATGACAGTCTACAAGAAGGTTTAAATAATAAATAAATAAAAATGTAGAAATAACACACAAAAGCCATAGAGAGAACGTAATGGTCTTAGTGTGACTAACGGCAGAACAATCAGCAGTACCACTTTGCAACTCAACAACAGTACATAGATTAATAACCATGCATGTCTTATCTATACATCATAACCTTTGGGCTCTGGTAGAAGCACATGTAAGCATCGCAAAGAAGGCGCCGAGGGAGATCGGGGAGAGCCTTGTTGTCCGTGACGGCGTGAAGCATTTGGCTACCCTCCTCCCCCACCCACTGCATCAGGTCTCCACACTCAACAACAGTTGGGATGTTGTACCCGTGCTGCTCACCTGCACAACAAATAAGGGAGTGAAATATCGGCTAGTTAATCTGCCTATCTACATCTTACTGCTGTTATTTCACACTACTGTGGTATAATTGGATAACCCCAAGAGAAATTCAGTTACTGATCAACTTACATATAATTTCCTGAAACAGTTACAAACTTCTTAAATCACTCACCTTTTCGATCAGCCATTGAGTCAAAAAAGCACCAGGTAGCATCAGCACCAGAGCCACAGCGTGTGAAGGCTACATAATGCGAAGTTTCTATGCACACTACAGCGAAGAGTTCCATGTAGACCCGGGGTATTGACCCACAGTGATCAGCCAACATCTAGATAGAGAAGACAATGGTTAGTTGATGCAAATATCCTGTTCTATTATCATTACTGAAGGTCAAATATAAAATCAACTATGTAAGTCAAAGTTCTTTGGTTTTACAAATGTACAAATGGTGGTAGTACAGTGATATCTCCGTTACCCGGAACAATTGGTGCAGAGCACTTCCGGGAATGAGAGATTTCCAGGTAACGAGACGACTCTCTCTCTAAGCTGGAAAAAATCCCTCATCCTCGGAATTTTCTGGGTAATGGAAAAAATTTTCTCAGAGGTTCCATCCCCGGAATTTTCCAGCTCGCGGAAAAATTTTCTTGGAATTTCCGGAAAATGCACCTGATTTTCATATCTCAAACCCAGAAATAAAACTCCCCCATTCCTGGAATTTTCCAGGTACTGGGAAAATGTGCCCCTCAGAAAATTTTTCCCAAAGCCTGAATTTTCTAGAAAACTCCAGCTTTGGGAACGATTTTCCGAGAAAATATCAATTCTGGTTATCGGAGCGTTCCATGTTTGAGGGATACCGGCTAAAGGAGATATTACTTAAACTGTACTATATATGTCAAAATAATAATTATAATGTTTGCATAAGATTATTTCTGTATGATGTTTCATATGAACCAATATCCAGGTTTGCCATGTGATTATTTTAGCTCTTACTGGAAAACTATTACTGTACAGTGTACCAAAACTACAACAGGAGACAATATTACCCTAAAATAATAAAGCACATTGAAGAATCCCAAGAGTTGTTCTTCCTAAATTCTTAACAAACCACAGACTCTTTATTTTACATGTGTTTTAACAATGTGGACTGTTTATACATGGTAAAATTTGGACAATTATTTTAATATGCACAGATACTGTATTACTGATGCAACTTGGTTCATTAAATACAACACAGTACAGTACCAAAAGCTGAAATGCAGTACCCTGCGGCATATGACCAAAAACTGTCACATCTACAATACCACAAATAAATGAATAGATTTGTACCATATCCACATATAATTGAATATACTGTACTGTACTGTGTATATCCATCTACAGTCGTTTCAAAAAGTATCTTACAATTTAGTGCTAGACAGTATGACACACACAATAATACTGCAACAAAAAACCACAACAGCTGTAATGTTATTAAGACAATCACCAATAAAATGCCTGGAGCAAAAATCATAAATAAATACACTGTAGTAAGGAAAAATATTTTGCAATAGTACTGTAACACGACCCACAGATCATGACTCAAATATCCCAATAAGTTAAAATTTCACAATCTAAGACTGCAAACATATTTTTTCCCTTAAGTTTAAAATCTGCAGGTATCATGGTTGGCTGTATTACAACAACCATTGGGACACATTACAGTGATACAGCAGGAGCTTTCTGTATCAATAAAATAACTTAATAACATATTATACTTTACCTGAAAATCTGGAGGAACTTTCAGCTTGCGAGTAGATGAGTGGCTGCCTCTTTTCTTGTGGCTATGAACCTGCACAGGGCAGAAAAAGAGAACTTTTGTAATTTTAGCACTTAGTATGATTATTTCTCTCCTTGCCATGTCATTTTAGGGGGGTTTATGTCTCTTCAATTTAGCCTATGCAAGACAAAGGTGAAGAACTATACAATGGCTTCTACCACAAATCTTCTGATAATTATGAAGTATTTTATACTGGTATTTTGATGTTGAAAATGATGATGATTTTAGAAATAACACATCAGAAACACCGAACAAGAGAAGAAATTCCCAGAAAATCCCAGATGGTCAACAGGACCACCTAACCAAAACTTCAAGTGCTCTTGTAATAATCTGTGAGGACCTGCATTTGTTCATAAAGATTCCAAATTATCCACTTGTGGACAAATAGAATTCAAGAGGGAGGGAGGGAGGTGGTGAATTGGAGGATAGAGGTAAGTAAAGACTTGGCAACATCTCATATAGGAGACAGTTAAAAATCAGCAAATTTCTTTCCACGCCACAAATTTAATTTCTTAGTTTAATTATGAGGCCAGTGCAACTTACACTAACAATGTGCTGTAAATAACCACTACCACCACCACCCCAATGTGATGTTGCTAAGTCCCCACCTATATCCCCTAACCTCCTATACACCACCTCCCTACCTGCCTAATTCTTTTTGTTCACAACTGTACATTTTGTAATAATTCTACTGTACTTAAAGTAAAACCATATAATGAATTGTGATTTTCAGTACTGTAGAAGTTATAACTGATTAAAGTGAATGAATAAACATTCTGGAAAAAGTGGATCTGATTCAATTTATTCTGAAATAACACTGTCTTGCCCAATAGTTCTGCACATCAGTAAATCAGTATCCAAGTAGTTCAGCACTTTACAACTGTGACTGTGGTATACTTCCTATAGTCTGGTAAACTCCTCTGATTGTTTAGCACTGTGCTTGTCAGGAAATAGTGGTGGACAGATGTGCAAAATGAGCTCCAAGGAAAAAGGTATACGGAAGAATTTATAAATGTCCATTATTGCCAAAGTGACATGCGACTTTGATCACATTTCCATAGGATTCATCACAGGAAGTTTGGAGATAAATAATTTTGTGTTAAATAAATAGCTAATTACATTTGAGGTAGGCCACTAACCTTGTCCATACACTTGGCACAAAAAGCAATGCTCTCAAGACCAGAGCCACATTGTCCAAAACACTCACGGCACTCGTACTCTGCTAACTTCCCGCAGATGATGCACTGACGAGGTGCTACGAAGAGAGAGAAACTTATAGTACTGTACATCTTAACTAATGTAAATATATACAATGTATTTTATTTACAGTTAAACTAAAATATTTGGCATAATCATTTAACTTAAGCAAAGGAAAAGGTGAGGATGACGTAATTTTTTTACATAGTGAGTATAAAATGAAGAGATGTGGAAGATAATATAGTGTGATGACATGAAGGGATAAAGGAAATCCAGGAAGAAGGCCACACCCAAGAAAAGTCAGTGGAATTTAGAGAGAGGAGGAGTCAGAAGTATAGGATCTGTAATACAAAAGAAAATAGATGACAAATGAGGGGATAAAAATAAAGCAGATGATGGTATTGGAAGAGAGTTATAAGTAAAAGGTCTTACAAAGAGATAAAGAAAGGAAAGCCCCAAAAAAGGAGTGTGGATAAAAGAATAAGAGATACCAGAACATAATAAATGGTGTGAGAAATGTAATAATATCATACAAATGAACAGAAAGAAGAAAAACAAGGATTCCAAAGTCCATTAAAAAAGTAGCCAAAGAGATAAAAACTATTATAAATTAAATACAGCCTAAGAATTATTACTTAAGTTGGTAAAATAATACAAGAGAGACAAAGATAAAACTGAAGTGGTCAAAAATTGGGAAATGTCCTCTTGGGAACTGGGGAAGGGGTTGGACGAGTGGACATAGAAGGATACATCACCAGTCTCATCCATCTATACAAATAAGGTCACACAGATAAGCTTAAGGACCACAAAGGAAGAATAAGATGAAAGATAATGAAGGTGTATGGAGGAATATTAAAACTGTAGAACTGAAGAATATAACAGAATGTGATATACAATATGTGAGGAGAAGCTGGGGAGGAGGATTCATGTCAAGACAGGGCCCTAAACATCAGATATTATCAGTAAAGTTAGTAAGAGATAACAAAGAAACACACTACTCACAGTTCTCAATAACATCAGTAACATCAAGAACCATGGACGGCAGAATCCTTGGGTACATTTTGTAATCTTTTCCAAAACGGGGCATCTGGATGATTAGGCAGGACGGAACCTGTAAAAAATAAATCACCCAGATACTCTTTGGTAACCTTCATAAATATGGATTTACAAATACTCACAGTTAGTTAAAGAATCATATATAAACAAAAATAAGAGGATTGTCAGTGTAAATTACAATGATCACAAAAATATATGAACTCATTCCCTTTTTGGCTGATTGATTTCCTTAAAAACTTACTTGCTTCAACTTAATATCAGAGGTGAGGAAAGACTGGTCAAACAAAGTCTGAACAGATGGCAGGTTAAGTTTTTCATCTTTGTCAACAAAGAGCTGGTAGTGGTAGGCTTCTTGACCAGATGACAGCTGCAACAGTGGCTCAGCCTGCAGAATCTGAGCCAACAGGGAGTGGAGGAATTCTTCTGGATCTGTGATTAAATAATATACAATTTAACATATACAATCATATTAATAGTTCAATAATACCATATATGATCACCTATCTTAGAATTACTTGGGCCAAACCCACTCAACTTTGTTGGCATATAAGACACGAGTCCTTCCAAAATGGCATTAGGTTAAAAAACTTGCTTCCAAACAATTACCATAAACCCTCACAACAATATAGCCCAGTGAGTGGAGACATGTGTTTAATATTTAATTTTTCGCCAAAACATATGAGTCTTTTCCTGCCAAGATTCAGAATACAGTAGTCATATCAGTGAAGATCTGAGTCTTAACATTCAGCAGTTCATTGGGTTGGTCCATCCCTTTAGCGGGATACTAATCAACTAGTCGACAGGAGGTCAGTTCCATCATCAACAAGTGCAACTAAAATTGTACAGTACTCTCTTCAGTGCTGAGTGCATAAGGAATAGTATATATTTATTTTTGGCTCAAAGAAAACACTTCTTATTCAATACAGAAGCTACCTTAATTACTTTTATCCTGAAATTAAAATGGGACGAGTCTCTTCATAATTAAACAATGTGGTGAAAAAATAAAATGCTATGGGTAAAGGAAAATAAAAAAAGGTATGATTTCCAATAAAATTAACAAATGATTTAACAGACAGACAGACGGAAGAATAGAGACTAACAGATAGACACATAGATGCCAAGGTTAATTACAATAACCTTACAGCTCTGGTAGACATGTGGTAAAAAAAATATCATCTATTTCATTGTTTCCATGTTAAGAGAAGTATGAAAATTAATGCAGATCTGATAGGTTGCATTAAGTCAGTCTTTCAACAACTACAAAGTCCATTAAACAAACCCTTTTCTTCAGTGGTAAGACCCCGCACTGAAGACAGATGATCTAGCATGGTGCGTAACTTCATAATACGGTCGGCTCGCACGAACAGGTTTGCACGGAGAGGGTTGACAATCTCTTCTCGCAGAACTCGCTGGACTTCATGGTATTCCTTTATGTCATGGGTAGTCGGCGGTCGAAACAGCAAGTTGTCAAACACACTGTAATGTACAAGTAAGTTAAGGATATAAGTGAAAATGTGTCAACCCTAATGTATAATCTTCATAAAGGAGGCTAAAAAAAATATATACTGTATAAAGATAATGTAGCAGAGTGCAGTCAATATCCTATGTACTGTGTCTAAAGCTCTATATGGAGTACCTAGAGGATGTAATTACTGTATATAAACAAGAAACAAGAAATTAATCTTTGACTTGAGAATTAAAGATAATTAGATGAATTAAAAACACCTCTACCACCTCTATTCACTTCTGAAAAACAAATTAATGGTATAAAATAGGTATAATATATATAAGACATACTGAATCTGAATCAATTACAGTAGTCCAGTACAGTACAGTTCCTTGATACTGTACATCGGACTAATTGAGGCAGAAACCCAGTCCAGAAAAAGTGAATCTGTGGGAGAGGGGTAAGGGGGGAGCTGGACAAAATCCTGTTTATCTGGACAAATTAAAGAAAAGAAAATATTAATCTAGTTAGCGACAACTGTTTTCACTAATATGACTGTTTCGTACTGTAAAGTGTTATACATTATATAAGTACATACTGGTAACCACAGAATTTGCGGATAAATCATTTCAATGTGTTCGTGTGCCTTATGAATAAAGACAAAATTGGAAAATGAGTGTGACACCCACACACAGACATTCAACCACATGTACAAACACACAAACCATCCAAACTGATGCTGGATTTTACAGACTTTTTCAAATATTTATGATTAATAGAGGGATGGTCTGAAGCACCCCAGAGAGTAAAAAAAAGAAGGGAATTCTCATGTATTGAAGTCCAAAGTATAGAGATTTTACTACAGAAGAATTCTAATTATATCCAGTAAAGAGTTAAAACAAAAAGAGAGGAATAATGACTTACCAATGGCAGAACAATGATAAAAGTCACAGGAAAGAGAGAGATTAATGAGGGATTGATCCTGGAATCGTGTTGTCTAGCAGAGCCAATGACAGGCAGCCATCATTATACAGGCCACTTACTGAGCAACTACAATATACAGTACTATCCACACCCCAATTATACAAACCAAGGGATTACATCAGTCTTAGCTCCCTCCCCAGCATACCATCCCCTAACTAATAGTGACTTGGTGCAACAAACTTAGTGCAACAATTCCCATTTGGGAGCAAGGAGGTCTTAAATAAGCTCAGCCTGCTAAGTCAATTTGCTCCAAGCATGCTGACTAGGCACAGACACTTGTTAGGTGGACCTGTTGTAAGCAATTTTTTCGTTTAAATACTGAGTAACAGGTTGGACCATGGATCCTTAGGATTTTAAGAAGATAAATTGTTGCATATTCCAATGGTTTCACAAGGTTAGAAGTAACTTTACTGAGATGGCAGAACAATTTCTGCCCTGAAAATTGTTTCAGATTACTACAAGGCTTCATGTGAACTGCACCTGGAGATGTAGATGTTTTCTATGTCTATGGGTGTCCCTCTATACTGAAGATGATCTTCACAGCAACAGGTGAACATAATACCTGTATTTATTGACTGTAACTTCAGCCATGTGGTTTGGGGCAACACAAAAAACATTTCAGTAAAGAATATTACCTTGTAAAAGCAAACATACTGAAGAGTGTGGCATCTAAGTAGCAAGAATTCTGGTGACCTTGAATACCACGATTCTTGCCAAACATTGCACGGACCTCATCAGGAGCTGACAATGGTGCTACACTGCCTCCTACAGGCTGACAGTCCATACTGCCAAATGCTAGGAGGAAACAGGAAAATATACAATAAAGTATTTAAAGAAAACATTATAATAACACAACAGACAATACACCCCACAGATATCTACTGAACTATACACTAGCTGATGTTGACATTTTCATCTCCAGTTCCAAGTTTGCAAATTTTATCTAATGCGGAGTATAATAACTTCAACAGAATCTCTTGTTAAATGATGCATAACACTGAACACAATGACGGGCCACTTTATAAACCTGCAGATATATACTGTTTATCAATTATGAAGCACAATCTCTTATAATTACTTAAGCTACAAAAGATAAATGTTATTTCATGTATCATAACACACAATCACACACCAATGTTGTTAGTTAGTGCAGCTCATCATGCATAAACAAAAAATTAAAAAATCACTCTCATGAAAACACCACACCAAAATGATCATATGTACTATACATTAATATTGTCAGTAAATACCAAGAGAAAATACCACAACCTATCTGAAGGAGAACGATAAGGGAAGGAGATAAAGAGTCTGGCAAGGAGATAAAGCAAATTACTGAGTCATCTGGAGATTATATAAAAAAAATCTTCAAGAAATTTATAGAATCCCCCAAACCCAGTAAGACACCCACTCCAAAAATCATTATTAGAAAGCCGGGAGTTTTTAAATACCTCGAGAGGACCCTCCTGCAAGAAAAACAATACAATATGCTTGGCATTAGTACCTTCTGTTACTTACAATACATCATATATCAAAATAAATATCTGGCTGTTTTTTTTAAATTTTCTATTATTATAAAATCTACTGAAGAACATCTATGAGTTACAGAATAACAAGAGAAAGTGAGCCACAGATTTTGTATTCCACAAAGATGATGACAGTACAAATAATAAATTTCCATTAAAAAAAAATATATATAATGTAGAAATTTTTTAATGTGATAAAATAAAGAACTAAAGTAAGAAATCCCATTTTATGATCAGCAACTGTGAGATCCAGACTACTAAAATACCTTTCAAGTGTCAGAAGGGTCGAGATAAGAAAAAATAAATGAGTGAGGGCGAAGGAGGACAAGAAGATTGAGAGAGAGAGAGAAAGGACTGATTGAGACTAAACTGAGGTAGGCAGGTGGGTTGGTGAGGAGAGCAGGTGAATGGATGGAATGAGGAGTCAGAAAAGAGGAAAACCTACATTGAGATCAGATGTTTATAGTAGGATGGACTTAAGAAAGGTTGGGTATGATAGAAATTGGAATTCACTAACAATGGATTGATTGGGTGGAGCTGATAGATAGAAAACAAAAACATGAATAATAAAATACACTATCCAGGTACAACAAGGCTACACAATAGTATTCCTGAAAAAAGCAATTTCTTATCCAGTTGAATAAGGTCAAAGATTCGTCCCCATTTATACCATTGGTTGGCTCAGAGCTCCTGTAGGCTGCAGATGAGGAGATCAAAACTTATCTATCAAAACTTATCTATCTAACTACTGTATCTATCTACTACTTATCTACCTATCTACAGTCACGGAAAAAAGTCCTGTCAGTCCTCTGTCCTATCCACGGACACTAACGCTGTCTTAAATTTACACTTGCACCATGACCTGGGGTAAAAACTAACCTTCTAGTCACTGCAGGAACTGTGAAAAACAACTGTGTGGCAGGAACCAAACCTAAAGAAAACAATAAATTTAACAAATTCCTAAAGAAAACAATAAAATTTAACAAATTCCTAAAGAAAATAATAAAAATTAACAAAGAGTAATGTTAACACTTCTCCTCTTGAGGTATTCAAATGAAGACACTGGCAGGAGAAAAATACAAGTGAGACCAGTAAGAGCTTGGTATTGACCATTCAGTGCAGTAGCAGGATCAGAGAACATTTGTATATGTATTTCCTTTTATGTCACTGGACCCTGAGCCAACTTGTGGATCAACAGGGATGAATCTTCAACCTTGATTAAACTGGGTAAGAAAGTAAAGTACACCGAGGAACAAAGACATTATCTGGTCTTGTCCACCTGAATAGCGTATCCTGTCGTTAAACGTGTCAAGCCCTCCATGTACAGCACTTTGGATCTCACAGGTCACTTGTTGATGACCCATACTTCACACAAAGTACTAAGGATATGACTATACACTATTGAGTACAGTACTACTCTTTGGAATGATAAGAAAAAATTAAAAATGATAAGTCAATTATTTGTTCAGGAAAATATTATACTGTAATTAGAGATAATGCAAAGACGCTGAAGCAGAGTGGGTGTGTGTGTGTGAAGAACATGAGAAGTTAATGTATATACCTGTACTGCTTTGGCTAAAAATAACAATGGTCATAAACTCCGTCAACATGGCTATAGTCTACTCCACTACTTCGTTCTCATCAACAACAGTCATTACATACAAGTACCAGACGAAGATAACATAATGACAAAAAAAATCAACAACACTATGATTATTCTTTAGGATAATGGTTCGCTCGGTATCCAAAATTAGGAATATCACCAGAGCAATACTCATAAACCCAGCAGCAACTGTTGTGTAGTTAACAGTGGGATAGACCTCCTTCCCTCCACTACCTCCCCATGAAGGGCCAATTAAAGGTCTTGCCTCTAAACTCATGATATGAAATAGGACACTAATGGTTTTTCATAAGTTCTGTGATTAGTGTGACTCCCAAAACTGTACAATAACTGAACCATTTACCAAAATAATATCTAAAATCAATTATATTAATTTATGATTACAGAGTGACTAACAGTTCACAGAAATAGCAATGCTCATGTTGTGACGCAATGGTTTGCACATTTGTGCTTATCTTAAATATTTGGCGATTCCTTCCAGGTTCTTTTACTTCAACCCAACAATCAAAAATACCGTTAACAAAATCTTGTTTTAGCAAAGGCTTCAATTGCTGCAATCTAAAGTCAATTAAAAAATCTCTGGAAATTGTACAACTTTCATTGAATTTGACCCTTAAAATTTTGGCCAGTACTGTATACTGTATTGTAGGCACATTTTCTATTTGGTTTATTAAGCATCCTGTGTGGAGAGATTAGTTCTATATTTAGACTACATACAGTCTTCAGTAACTACTACCATACCACATGTTGACAGTGACCAATAATGATGTACACATATGAAATCCAAACAACATACAGTATATAATGTATTTACCAAGGCTAGCTCTGGGGTTGGATGATATGGACTCAAGGAAGCGACTATCCTTATGACACATGCGTAGTGGGACAAATAATGCTTTTCCAGTTGGGCATGTGAAGTATCTCTTGCCACTGAAGGTTCCATCTGACAACCCATCTTCTGCATCCTCCTGTAAAATATGTTAAAGTGTACAATAGGATTCCTTTTGTGATTCTTTTTTTATTTATTTTTTGTTCTTCTGGTTACCATTATGTGAGTTACTTCCTGCATACAGAAGCTTCCCTAAATTTTTGAAGGGGAGAACCAAAACTCAAATAAAGGGACATTATTTGATTTTCATCCACTAATATGTTTATTTTTCGTAAGCAAAGGAGAGCCATGGTCGAATGCCCCCCTTATATACGTCACTGGTTAAGAATATCAAAATAATAATACACTTTGCCTGATGCCACACTCACCATCTCTACACCAGCAACTTTTCGTCCTTCCTTTTTGTCTCCTGGTACAGTCCCAATCCACCTTATGACCCCAAACCTGTGGAAATCATGACAAAGCTAAATTATATGAAACCAGATGATATGTAAACAAGGCTGGAGAGTCACCACAATGTGAAAAACAATGTATGAAAAGAAACCATCATTCTGCCTGTCATTATAGGTTTCTTCTTATATAAATATGTGAATACGGTATTTATATGAAGCTATAAGGATCACATGTCCAATCACCTGCCAAAAGATGCAGCAGTGAGGGGGAGGAAAGGGGACAGTCACCTCACACTTTGTACTTTAACTTCCAAAAATAAAAATAAAGCAAAAGTGACTAGGGTGGTTGAATTCATAGGGACAAAATGAAGAACAAAATAATTGAACGATGATGACGGGAGATTTAAATCCATGAGCATTTATTCTCCTTCAAATTTTTATCATTTTTAAACTCGTGAACACAGTGTAGAGTATATCTGCATTATTATCTATACGGTACACTGAAATTAGACACATGCTGTCCAGTAAACAGAGAGTGAATCCCCAATTATATATATTATCAGTGACATAACCATTCTGTGGCCTAAGGAATATTATAGTTCTATTTGAGTAACGGTATGTGATCTTCAACTATATTACAGACAAAAGGGTATAAAAGGGGTAGGGAGAGAATAATCTGAGAAACTGCTGAGACTTGAGTGAAAGACAGAGATACCCTTGTCTAATCTATTGCCTCTCATGACTCAGCATCAGCCAACAGCAGCATCTCCTTCCCTAAAAACTGGGATGACCAAAGAGATGACATCAAGAGTTTAATTTATCCACCAGTAAACGATACACTAACTGTCTCCACTAAACAGTCAATGACAGTAACCATCAATGTGGACCTCCCCATCCCATCATACTCAGTGTTAAGTACTCACAAGGACACTTCCTATTTCTAACTCAAAGTGATCCAGGTGACTGGTTGTATACTGTATATAACAGCTGGAAATCTCTTAAATAATTATGAGTGAAGGCCTCAACTTTAACTTCAAGTGATTCATACAACTTATTGCAATAAAAATCATCCAAAACTTCTTGACTTATCAAAGCCCTGGATAAGTTTATTATTGAACTGTGATGAAGCAGTACATCAGCTGTGAAAAACTCACAAAAATATTTCACAGTTTTTGTCAAGTTACTAATTAATGGTTAGAAAATTAGTAAGATGAACAAATAAATGAATGATTGAAGGAGCACAAAGTTGATTATTACCGGAAGTCTGTCAGAGGCAAAGCCCTAATAAATCTTAGAAGCTATGAATCTAATACTATGACACTGAAATCCCACTGTAAGAGAAAACAAAACACAGTGGGATTTCAATGATACTAACCAGCTTGGGATTAGGTTGCCTAGTTTTGTTAACCCTGACACTGTATCAAGAAACAGTGTATAAAACTGAACTACTGTACCATGTTACCAACTATAGGAGCAAAAACTGAAGTGATAAAAGACATGTTACCTTGGAACTTCTTTGATGACCACCTCTACTAATGAACCAATATCTAGGTCTTCCTCGGTCCCCTCCACACTACCCTCGGGCGTTTCATACACACTGCCGTCCCCATCAGACACAACTTCTAATTGGTCGATCCCTAAAAGAAAACCCTGAATGTTATATACTAAAACTGATGATAGTACTTACATCTAAGGCAGAGTTTTCATCTTACATTGTCTGTTATGATAAAACTATTAAGCTATTCCTTCAATAATTAGTAAGAAAGATGATCAAAAATACTGAAACAGATCACATGAACTCAATACACAATTTCTGTCTCTCAAATCATCATCAACAGCTGTGAATAACTTTAATATATACAAAAACTACACCAAACTTTACCATGTAGAGACAAATGATACAAGGGGTTAACAGGTAAGTCCAAGTCCCCAAGACCCCCGATAGGAGAACCTTGCTCGACGTCATTGTTTATCTGAGTAGGTCGTCCACAGCTTCCTGAAGACTTCCATTTATTATTCTTTTTGTCTATATTGCGATTTAAAATTTTACTCTTGTCCCGTTGACGAGATTTATGATCATGCAGCGTCTCCTGTGGAAAATGGTACTTGTGATATTACAGGAAAAGAAGTTTCAAATATTGTAGATAATTAATCCTGAGTTAAATAGCAAGTTTAACTTATAGTATAAAACACTATATCCAGTCAATTCACTTTGATTCTCCTTAACTCAGAATCTTACTATTTTTTTTCTTCCAAATTTCTATTTTTTTTCCTAACATTCAATACTAACTCCTCTTATTATGTCAACTCATTATCCATAGATAATACTTTATCCCCATCTTACACCTGGGATGCTGATGCAAAACTTCCTCTGCAAAATCTAATCTCAGCAAATCACAAAGGCAAACACTGGAATGTCCCTCTCAGTACAGTAGGTACTCTCACTACACTCTTCTTTTGGTATGTCACTGTCATCAACTTTTCAATCTTATGGATGTTTCTTGTATAGTTGGGAAGTTTTATGGCTTTTAACATTACCTGGTAGCTTTGTTTAATAAATTCAAAAGGTCTTATTTTCACCAAACCTTAGGATGGATGGATGCAAACCTAGATCAACCTTTACACTCAATGGGTTAAAACTTTGGTCTCAATAAAGCATGAGTATCACATACAGCATAAATTCATCATACTCACCTTGTTACTCGAAATCAAATTTTTTTGAGTACCATAGGTCACATGAGGTAAAAGCTCCCACTCCTTTTCTGAGTAAGGCGGCGGTGGTCCTACAGTCCGCTGACTAGGTGTGGATAACTGTTCATATGCCAGGAGATGGAAAGGAGTCATACTTGTCATATCACTGCCCAGCTGATTGTCACACTGGAAAAAGGCCAAAGAATTCGAATATGAAATTGCCAACCTGAAGTATTACCCAGCAGAGCCCCAGCTGACTTGTCCAAGAACCTATCAGTGTTCAGTTTACGAGTACAGTAATGTACATTCGAGGTTAAAATTTCTCTCCTTCCAAAAATGAAGCAATATCAAACCTAAATGAAATAAAACAGCACACTTACATCAAATGACAGTCAGCATAAGTAAGTTAAGAGACTTATTCTTGTGCTTGCTTCACCACAGGGTACAAACTTTTGTCCGTGACTGTACAGGCTGCACATCAGCTATCCACTTGCACAAATAAGTGTTTATAAACCAAATTCCAATTTCACTCCAGCAGTGATTAAAAAATCCTTCACATACAAACTTGGAACTCAGACATTAAACCTCACATTTTCATGCTGATAAGATAAGCATGAAGAGAGGGGAGAAGGATTTCTGGTCACCTGTTCCCTCTTCCCAGCCATAAAATAGGATTTCAAACTTTAATCTTTTGTTTTATGGTCTATGGGCCATTTGACAAGTGACCTGTGAGATTCGAAATGGAGGAGGTTATGTAACAAGGAATGAATCTCAGCACCCCAGCAGGGAGTTACTCATTTATAAAAACAACATCTAATTAACATTTACTTCCTTGTACCACACAGTCTGATTTTAGGTTTACCACTCAGAGGGTCAAGTCCTTCATTTAATGGAGACAGCCAGAAAAGCATAATATGAAGTAGAACAGTTACCATAGTCTGAGTGGTGCTGTACTGACAATAATGAGATAAGACTTTCATAAAGTCAACGATAAAGATCCATGAGCTCTCCTTAAGGTGTTGAAAATACCGATAATAGCAACAGCTAGGGGAAAAAAATTATGTACTGTACTACTTCATGTCAAACATTAAAGCCAAGGAAATAGAGGAACATTACAGACCAGACATTGAACCCAGGCTCATCCGTTACCATAAAACCAGTCAAGGAAGAGGATGTGATTGTGTTGGGAAGAAATTATGATAAAAAGACATAAAACCCATAAGGAATAATGATACTCAACAGTCATCAGCATCACTAATTATTTACCTTTGAAATCAGATGTGCTGGCCGCTTCCCACTTAAATTGCGTCCACCCGGATCAATGCTGAGAGACTCTTTACCTAGAAAATCCTCTGCCTTCATGAGACTTGTTACAGGCATCAAAGAAGCATGATTCAGTTTAGCATCAAACAGCAGCCGGCCACCGACTCTGTGGTTATCATTACCTACAGGATTGTCCTGAGGAGAGAAACAAAGGTTGAGGACCATCTGTGAACTAGAGGGTCATGTGGTAAAAACTGATTTACTGCTACGATAAATAAATCTAGTCATAATTTCTGTTATCGCCGCTGGCTTCAGCTACAGTGCTGACGTGTGATGCCATTAAATCTTTCAACCTGTGACCTCACCAGATGTAGAAGTGTTTACAGACAAGTCCTGGTCCTGCTGAGTGGACTGTCTTAGACTGGTGGCGGTGGCTGCCCGCCCCTCCATGAGACAGATCGCCCTCTCTAATGATGCTGTGAAGACCAGCCTTCTGTCCGAGAATTTGTGCTGGGACGATTTACGCAATACTGTTTTCTCTTGGAACACCATACTGATCTGCATTGACCCGCACTTGTAAGTACAGCCTAAGTGATGACATACCCCTCGGTACTGAAATATTGTTGAATAATTACGACGCATTCAATATTTATTGATGTGGTCAAAACCTGCAGAGGAGAAGGCGTTCATATTATTACAAGGTGATCCATCTGATACATAATTAGTTAGTCTCACACAATTTTATCTTAATTACAATTTATTAAACATACTGACATAACACAAAGTTCATAACTCTATTAATCTTAGCTTCGCTTCACTCTGCATTGTCTTATTATTCCAGGTTAGGCAGAAACGAGTAGGCGTAATTATTCAACAATATTTCAGTACCGAGGGGTATGTCATCACTTAGGCTGTACTTACAAGTGCGGGTCAATGCAGATCAGTATGGTGTTCCAAGAGAAAACAGTATTGCGTAAATCGTCCCAGCACACATTCTCGGACAGAAGGCTGGTCTTCACAGCATCACTAGAGAGGGCGATCTGTCTCATGGAGGGGTGGGCAGCCACCGCCACCAGTCTAAGACAGTCCACTCAGCAGGACCAGGACTTGTCTGTAAACACTTCTACATCTGGCGAGGTCACAGGTCAAAAGATTTAATGGCATCACACGCCAGCACTGTAGCTGAAGCCAGTGGCGATAACAATTTCTTTTAAATTTTAAAATTATTGGACAAATTTATAGTAAATTAATGTGCATTATTTAAACTTGAAAGTCTTCATGTTTCTAAATACTACAGTATTAGTTGAATGGCAAGACTGTAACTAATTTTCAATTAAAAGCATTTTCAAAATGTTTCTCTTGACAATTTTAATCAACATACATAATATATGTAACATAAAACTAAACAAGAAAAATGTTGTACATTATTTGGAACTCACAAATTCCACTCCCACCATCCACGCTCCAGAATCGCTTATTCCTGGCAATTTCCCAGTCCACTTGACCACACCAAACTCTGGGTAATCCTCACTCAGCCAGACCACGCGGTCACCAACACTAACGCCGCACTCATCATTTCCACCTGCCATTGTCATTGTTCCCCAGGGTGGAAGAATTGCCTTATTTGATTATGTCACAGCAATTAAAAATCTTTCAGATTAATCACATGTGCTAAAAAGTTATGCATGAAGCACTGTTAGAAGACTAGACAAAATCACAAGGAAAATTTTGTTCTTATAACTTGCTGCAATAAGAGATGAAATGTAAAATGAAATCCTTTGAGAAAATTCTTTTAGAGGTGAGTGGACAAAAAAATCCTGTTTTACAATCTGAGTTGAGCAGATGATTTGTGACAAGTTAGCTATCATAACACAGCCATCTGTTGCTATGACCTGAGGGCACAGTGACAGGTACTACTGATGCAACTATCCTTACAACCATATCTTGATCCATCAATTCTAACAGAAAAAGATATCAAAATGACACAGATTTTGTTGTTATATTTGACAGAAAGGCCACAAAGCCATGGAAAATATGCCTGTGACCCTACATTCAAGTGTGATGATAGAAAACAGATCCCAATAGACAAGGTCCACAGTTCCCCATACTGCAGATTGTGCCATTCCTTTCTGAATCACATAGAGATGGGAGGGTCATTTTCCATACTGTTTGAAATGATGAATCCAAATATGGTTGGGAAGATAGTTTTCAGCACATAATAACAGATGGCTTTTCATTCTTATTGCATTACCTCAAGGAAGTGCCAAAATTAATTGCCTTTGTTATACAGAAATGCAGTTAACACCAGCTAATCATATTAAGGGATTACTACACTAACTTTTCTTTTTAAATACTGTATACTGTACTATAAATAACTTCAACCTACCTTTTCCACCACTTGCATGAGCCTTGCGCCGTCCACCTTCCATCCTGTCCAGATGTACTGTACTACATAGGTCTGAAAGTGGGGTAACAATAACTGACATCAATTGGGAATGCAATCAAAAAAAGTTGACCATGCACTTTACAGGACGTCAGTGCATCATTGATTTCTGCTTCCTTGTCTCCTTCAGCAACCTGTGGTGGATCAATCCATAAAGGGACTCAACGCATTGCAGTGCCTGAGATTACCTTCCAGAACATGTTTCAGGGTTAGGGGCTCAAGCTTGGGACTTTGAAAGCTACAATCAGTCCTCTAGCCATCTGGTTCTTGCAGGCCCATCCATCTACTAGTGCACACAAAAAACTCCAAATCTCTTCATAAAACTTCACACTGCAAGAATTGAACAGCTTGTTTCTGGCTGCACAAGCAGCAAACACAAAATCACTTTGTATTCAAATTCTTGGTCACTGCATGCTGATACAATTTCATGAAGGGAGAAATATTCAAAAATGTTTTGTAGATACAGATATACTGTATACGGTATGCTATACTATGACCAACTTCATCTTTCACCATATTGTAATTTATTTTAACTATAGCCTCTTACATGAAGTTTCCTGTTGAGTTACAAAGAAAAGATTGATTCTGTTATTCCTTTTTTATGATTGTGCCTGAAAGTCGGTGGTTGTTTTAAGCATAATGAACACACACGAAGCCATTTATTTTTTTTAAGAGAGGAAGAGTAGAAAGAAATAATATAAGCTAATCATACACCAAGCTGAAATACCAAACCCCAGATAAAACAGTTACTATGCAAATACATGTTAAGTCACATGAAACCAAGTCAACATCAAACACCATGCACCACCCTACCATGAAACAGTACACTACTCACAAGCGGTGCAACTCCCAAAGCTGAACAATCTGTAGTGAAATCAAAAGTATTACAAGTTATCTACCAAGATTGAGGTTAATTTTTGTTCTAAACAAACAGAAGATAATCATTAAATCATATAGGGGAAAAAATCATAAATAAAATAATTAAAACAAAACAAAAGGTCTTTCTTGGTAAAACATAATTTATACAGACATTCAACTTCTACTGATATGATGAAGTAAGTGAATAAAGGAAATGATAAAAGTAAACAGTACTTAATTTAAACCATTCAGGCACTTCTTTATGTTCAGAGGTACAAACAATGCCTAGATAACAGATTATTAATATTAGAAATTCCTTAAAAAGAGAAAGTTTCCAGAGTGTCAGCAGTAAGCAAGATGTTATGCGTTAAGGGAAGTTTGCATGCCATATAAGGGGGTTTGGATGCCATTTACGGGGGCTTGGTGCCATATAAGAGGTTGGGCATCAAGCAAGAGGATAAATCAGGAGAGGAACTCAAACTAATCTATAGAATTTAAATCTAATAATAAAACAAGGACTATGAATGATCTAAGAATACAGCAGAAGGTTGTGGCCTCCATGCCTTCACCACTAAAGGGACTGGACAACAATTATCACTAAATAATATATGATTTTAAGAGATATGAACCACTGAGCATTAAATTAGGCAGCACTCAGGGGTCTGTCCTTAGTGTGCATGGGGTAGTATAACGGGACTGTGTGTAGGGGGGTAGTAGTAGAACCATTGCCTCTAATTGTGTAGATAAATTTTGCAGCAAGGTTTCTTTACTTGTATATTCATAATTTCGTGTTTCTCTATCAGTATTAGTACAGAAGGAAGCTGGAGTACCACGGATAAACCACCAATGTTCAGCAAGGTCACAGACAACACCCTACTCATGTCAGATCATAGTAGGGATCAATCTCATGGTCACACAGGTAGGGCGATAGTATACTACTGCTGGTGGTTCAGGTACATTTACTTAAGGTAGCTCATGTTATATTATCTCTGGTTCGTTGTACAGTAGCCACGTTCATAACATTTGTGTACACAGAGGACGTAAATATGACATCATCTTATTTAACAACCATAAATCAGGTAGGAAAACTTTAATTTCGACCTCACATAACACTGTCGACACACATTTCCCTGAGCTATAATCTGTATAAAAGTCGTTTTTTGATCCATACCTGTAGTTAAAAATAATATCCAGGGTTATATATAGGCTTACTTAAGGAGGTGATTCACAGATGATCTCAGTGATGTAAACACTAGCTCTGCGCCTCTTGTTTTGATCCTGTGGCTTTAAAGGGATCCCTAATATAAAACCCTTGGCTTATCCATTTTCAACAGACGTCTTTCAATAATCATTTTTATAAATTATTTATTTAAAATTTTCAATATATAAATTTTCTGATTAATTTTATGTTTTATCTTTATTACTAGGAGAAATAAGGCTAACGTGTGTTGTTTATAGACACTATCTCTGACAACTATGCAGACGACAAAGCTGTCACCATATCTTCCTGACGTGAAAATTGGCAATTCCTCTCTGAGCATGTGTTCATATTCGGCGTCAGGTAAATATTCATGTTTTTTTGCTGCCCTAACCCCTGATATATTACATTCCCTGAGCTTGTTCTATAATACATAAACAGGTGATAAGAAATTATATATAGATTTAAATGTGAGAACATTGATTGCATTATAGGTGTCATTTAATCAGAAATAATATTTATATCAGCCCAGGGACAGTGATTAATGTATGCAATTATTAATGCTGGGATAATTTATATACTATCTAGTCAAATGGCAAAGAAATATGCGTTCTTTATACTGTCATATATCCCTACCCCACCAATGTAACCTAATCTACTATACTGTGGTTGTCATTAACCAGGGTCATTAATATTTATTGTCATTTTTAATAATATATATAATTCCAAACATCTTTTTCTGGCCTTTACAAGAATATAGTTATCGAGATTTTGAAGTCATCCATGTGTTATTTCCTGTTTATAGGCATGTATAAAACAAGGCATTACCTTAGCAATCTTCTCTGACTGTGAGTAATAACTACAAAATTGGGAATCAGATAATGGAGAAGTTCAAACGGAGACAGAGAAACTGCTCATAAGATGTCACTACATAATACAGTACAGAATTGAGCATTTAATCATAATAGAACTTTTAATATTTGTTATCATACAGAAATCCTTGAATTAATGTATCTCAAGGGAGTTGTCCACACATAAAGGGGCATTAAGGTAGGACTGAAAGAACAACTGTAATAGGGTTTTACTTCCAAGACAAATTTAATTCCACTAAAAAAGTGATTGGTGGTAGGCAAGGCTGACCAGGGTGGTGGTCCAGGGGGCGGATCCAAGAATATCAAAAGGGGGGTCAAAGAAGTTGTGGGTAGGGGAACTTGGCAAGCACAGCCAACCCATTCGTTTTTTTTTTTGAAGGGGGGGGGGGAGCTGTAAGCCCCACCCCCATAATATAATTTAAAACTTACCAATATCAGGGGCAATTTGAGGTCATTTTGAAGCCACGTGCACTTGATATTAGGAGATTCAGTATTCTGAAGTCAATAGTAATTACTTTTTACTATACAAAAACGCCTGAGTACAATATTATAATTAAAGGAAAGGTATTGGAATTTTCTGATGAAAAGGGGGATCCGGTACCCGCCCCCCCCCTGTATTCGCCCGTGGTCAAAGCAGGAGGTCGACCTAACTTACATAGGAAGTATCTGGAAACAGACAATACTGTACACAGAACCTATTAGGGAACCTATAAAGTTCACATGGGTGGACCAATAACCTTCATTTAAACATGATTTTATATACTTTTCGTGTGTGTGTGGTCACACCCCAGGGTCACTATAGTGTCTAGGTCCCCCACTGTTGATGGTATTTGAGATATCAGAGGCCAGTGTTCCCTCATTAGTGTGTTGGTGAAGGACTCTTGGTCTTCTTTACAACCAAGTGTTAACAGCATTATCATTTATTTCTCAGATATAAAGTGTGAATTAACATATGTTTTCCCAGTGGCAGTATCTGGTACTGGGTAATTATATTTCACTCTTGCCAGTAATAACAGTTTTGCAAGTTCTGCAAATACTTACATATGTACTTCTGATAACTTCCCAGTACACCCCCCCACCTGGTGGACGTTGGTCAGTACAGTACGTATTAGCAGGCCTTGCATTACATCATTAACTAGAACACTGTAGAAGGATGTTTTATCTCTCCTCATCAATATAAGTTTGCTATAATTATTCTTTCTCATAAAATATAACCAGGGGCGGATCCAGAAATATAAAAAGGGGGGATCCAGGAACTTGTGGGTGGGGGAACATGGCGAGCAGAGCAAGACCACCCAGCTGGGGGGCGCTATTAGCCCCCTCCCCCAGATTTTTTTGGAAATATGACCAATATCATGGCCATTTTAAGGTCATTTGCACTTGATATTAGAAGATTATCTGAGGTCAATAGTACAGTAATTACTTTTTACTATACAAAAAGACTAAGTACATTTCTGCATTAAAGAAAAGTATTGTAATTTTCTCATGAAAAGTGGGGGTCTGGACCCCCAGGACCCCCTTTGGATCCACTCCTGACAGCATTAGTAATGCTTCTTTGTATTGGCTAACTGTTATTAGTATGGAGTAGGTATAGTACAGTAGTGGGATAACCCTGGTAGCCTATCCTTGCATTAGTGTGGTGATGTTGCAGCATTATAGTGTCCAGTAGGAGGGAAGAGCGTGGCAGCAGCCTTCACCCCATGACCGAACCCCTAACACCCCTCGCCTGCCTCGCTCCTAGCTATGGCTGCTTGTCGCAGGAAGGTTGAGGTATGTATGCTTCCCAACTCTTGCTAACAACCTCTCATTCTATAACCTTTCTGGAATATATATGCTTATAAGCTTAGAATCTTGTCTTTATAACCTCTTAACATAGTAACATAGTTAAAAAGTTTATGCTTTACAAGCTTTGTTGAATGTCAGAGCTTATCTAGATTCTCTTAATTTTGTTTTAGTGCCTGATTTTTTCTCCTGTTTCTGTTCATTCATAGTTAGACTCTCTCTTATTCCCTCTGCACTGTTTAAAAGTATTTGTGCAAATCATATCTTTTGTGGATCTTCTCATATTTACTGCATAACTGTTTTAACACAGTTGTGGGTTCAAAGGGAAAGTCCAGTGAAGGAAAAGCTTAAGTTTCTCATTTCCATTAAGCTCCTTTTATGGAAAGGGAAATTTAAAAAGAATGTTCTTTATACATGTACGGTAGTGTAATTTGGAGATCATTTAGGTTCTCTCAAAAGAGTTGAATTAAATCTACATACCAGTGTAACCACCAATTAAGTAATTAATTTTAATAAAAGAATTGAATCTCTTGCTGGTGACCAATATCATGGTGGACATTCTAGTCTTTTAAATCTTAATGCAGAATGAGTTGTCTGTTTTGGAAAACTATAAAAGCATGATAATTAAACTTAAGGCTCTTGGTATAGAGCCAGTGTTCTATCTCAAACTGTGCCTTTTCAGAGGATAAAATTAAAAAAATATATATTGACATTAATAGAAGTCTCAATGGGAACTAAGAAAACAAAGTCACTGTCTCACTGATAAATTTTAAGGAACCTTTTCCAAAAATTCATAAACTTCCAGCTCATAAATTAAATTCCAACTCAATTTCTGAATCCCTTATACAGTGTCTGGCTGTAAAGAGGTCTGTATAGCTGTACAGTACAGGGTACCTCTAGTATCCTAAACAGGAGAATTCTACATAATAAACTATTAACAACTGCATCTTTGTCCAAATTAATCATTCAGATTGGGGTTCCTATGGGTGGACAGCTGATCCGATTGAGCTTTAATTGTCTTTTCCACATTCTCATGAAAAGTGGAAATTGTTTTGAAAACTCCACATCCAACAGGTGCAGAAATAGGAGGGGAAAAACTTTGACTGCTGTATTCTATACAGAGCAAGATTCTGATCTGCAAAACTAAGCTTGAATAATCTTGACTTCAGTCTGAGTCAGTGAAGTGTGAATCTGAGCTTGAGTGGAGATAAGAGAAGACTGAAAGGCATTATCTATATGAAGTTTAACTTGTAACCAAACTATAATGCAACAAATTTTGGGGGGAAGATTTTATAATTCAGCAGTTTCTGAAATGACAAAATTTGTTCATCATATCATCACCCCTTAATGGTAGACTACAAATATACAAATATCTCTTGAATTATCTGGTCACTATTTTCAGTTAGACAATAAGCATTATGTCATGCAGTGTTCACGAGGATCATCATCAAGAGTAAAGCTCAGTAGCTGAGAACCTCAAGGCAACAGGAGAAGCTTACTTGGTCCATTGTGTGTATCTGATAATATTTTCTGAAACTGAAACCTAAAAAGTGCTTGCCAAAATAGCACATCTAGATTGTTGACCATTAAGATACCAGTAATTCTATTGGCTATTAAGGTCAATATGTGTGGAAAATGTTACAAAATGGATATCAGCTGTGAAACCTGAGTACACTATAGACCTAAGATAATCCTTGGTTGATAGCTAACTTATTAAAGGATATCAGTTGCATGAAAACCCATGATCTATGTAGCCATCTTTGAATAATGTTGACTGCACTGCACATTGAAAATGTCTGACGTTTGGTTATTCTTAAAGAAAAAAAAACATCACTGGGAAAGAATTCCACACAATTAAAATCATTTATAGTATTTACACTGCTACTGTGAAATACACTCCATGCTGTACTCGGGCGGATCCAGGGATGGGGGATCATGGGTGTCCGGACCCCTCCCTTTTCATCAGAAAATGTCAATACTTTTTCTGTAATGCAGTATTGTACTCAGGCATTTTTGTATAGTGAAATGTAATTACTTATGTCCTCAGAATATCAACTAATATCAAGTGCAAATGGCCTCAAAATGACCAAGATAATTGGGCTCGCTGTGCTTGCCATGACCCACCACCCACAACTTCTTGGACCCCCCACCCCCCTTTTGATATTCCTGGATCCATCCCCAAGTACTGTATACAGTACAGTACTGTATTTTATTCTATTCTATTCATAAGTATCTATCATAAGACAGTACCTGTAAAATGAAAACATAAACCATGACAGTTACCACTGTAACTGATATTCTAAAGTTGCATTACAGGTGTACAGTATCACACTCAGGTGGCCATGTTTAGGGTGTAATATATCATGTGCAGGAGTACAGTATGGTATGTACAGTATTACCAGTAATTATTACACGATTTCCTTTAAGATCTTTCCTTATAAATTAAAGCTTTAAATTCTTGTGATAGGAAGGTTCATGTGTTGAACATCATATAATGGTGACATCTGACCTGAGATTATATTTCCAGGTGTTAGTGGTGCTACTGCTAACACTAGTCCCACGACCTGGGCCTCTGGAACCACGTCCGCCCTGCACCCGGGACAAAGCAGCTCTTGTTAGGAAGCTTGTCAACAAGGTAAGTTCAGCAGTATGTAGCTGTATACTGTACAGAGATAAGGAAACAAGAGGTATTAAAAATATGGAAATAGGAAAATCCAAGGTGATCAGAAATAATAAAAAAGGCATATTTTTGTATTTAAGTACAGTACTGTACAGCACAGTCGCAAGTACAAGAAATTAAAAAATAATCAAATTTTTTTTTACAAATCTGCATTATATTTTTAATAATGCATAACCAGCCTTCACAAAATACAATACAGTACTGTACATATTTTGTTTTGGATCACATGGATTCATTCACTTCATTGCCTATTAAGAAAGTGTGTTTGGTGTGTATCAGCGGTGGGTGCCAGTGCTGGAGAAGTATGGTGTGACGCTACCCCTAGAGTGTCCGCTGCATGCAGCTCGGGATGTGTTCGCACAGCAGGAGGAAGCCAAGGTGCATGTACCACCCCAGTGGACTTGTGGCTTCTGTGGAAAGTCATTTTACCACGAGGCACACCTGGATCGTCACCTTGACAACCGGCATGAAGACTACCTCAATAATGTGAGTTGGTTGAGAATTACTAAGTACATACAGTATTATATTGCAAGCCAGTATGTGTTACTTGTATATCTCATATATATTTTTGTTTGTGTATTTCAGCATAAAATCACCAACAACAAGAAATTTCAAAGGATGTTTCTCTGTGTCAGTGTCATAAGGTACTTTACACCCATGTCTAACATAAGGAGTGCATTAGGATACAGTATTTTATAGTTAAATACAGTAATATGCTATGTTGTACTGCAGGGATGGGGAAACTGTGGTCCTTCAAGGGTGATGGGGTGGCCTGCGTTAATACCTGTATTTGAATTCAGTGTCTTTTAAGGGGACCTGTTGACAATTTTTTTTAATGATTAAATTTTCCATTTTTTTTTCAATATGTGTCTTCACTCTGATTGTACATGTATGAATTTTCAGCTTGTTAGGAGAGTTAAAGAACCTTGAACATAATATAAACTTCATTACAAATCCATTTGCTGTCGACGATTGAGACAAAACACTGCAGTTCTGTTGTCCATGGCAAACAGGATTGTCATATTTTTTAAATTTGGGTTTTCCAACAAAAAGAAAAGGACTACAGCTAATTCTTTTATGTTTATGTGTTTGTACCAAAGGGAGTTGCTCCACTTCCCTTGACAGAATTCTCACTTTGAGGAATGGTATCCCCATCGTATTTCGGACGCGTCCATGCAAACAACCAAGTCTGCTTGAGGGGGAACCCAGGGAGATGAACCGATTAGATTGTCCAAATTTGTCCACCATGACAGATGATTCTTGATCTGAATAGGGAGAGAAGAAGCAATATTTCTGTTCCTGTGAAGCAACTTCGACCCCAGATGAGTTAGTTGCTTCTTCCTAAACTTGCCCAAAGGTCCTACTATGGTGGCAAAATTCAACAGACCCAGTAGTTTTCCCAATCGTGCCAAGAAACCTCTAGCTTTACACAAAAGGCTTCTACTTGGTTTATCACATCTGTTACTTTTGCTTCTGGTAGACTGACTGACTGCTGATTGGTATCCCAATGGAGACCTAACCAATCCAATTTCTGACATGGTATGAGATTTAATTTGACCTGGTTTATCTTTAATCCTAGATTTTGAAATAGTAATAGTGTACGTTGGGTCGCTCTTTGACAATCTTCGAAAGAGTTTCCCACTGTCAGCCAGTTATCTAGATTAGCAAAAGTTCTTATGCCCTCCCTTGCAAGGATCTCTCTGGGGATGTTTGCCAGAAAAAAAGATGGGTTTTGCAAATGTTGTCAAGATAAAAATTTCTAAATTTTATTTGGAAAATATTACTCAACGGAAAATGTAGTACAGGTCAAGTTCAAATTGAAGACAAGTTGTGTTCACTTAATTAGATGACATTTATTTTCTGTTTCACCAATCATTTTCGCTGCCTCTACTATTTTCATTGGGAATTACTGTATGTCTTATCATATGTTGTAATTTTTCTTAAAATAACTACAAAGACTTCATTGATAAATATAAAATTTAATTTGCAGCTTTATGACATTATGTCATCCCTGAGCATAAGAATCAGCATTTGCTGTACAGTATAGTATTTACTGCAGTTATTTATGTTTTTCCTCTTAGAATTTTGGCAGTGGTATACTATCAGTGATTATTTAGTTACAGGTTCTTGTATTGTTTTGTACAATGATTGTAACCATAAAACTTTCCTTCTAAATTTATCATTCCCATCATTCTTACAGGGAGAGGACTCAGTGTGCCTGGCAGATTTTTGTGATGTGATGCGTTGTGAAGTGTTGTTAGAGCGGCTACGGGACTTTGATGATGCGCCACCTTCTGCCACTGCTCTAGATTTGTGGCACCAGCCTCTACTATTGTCTTCCCCCACCATGCACCAGGCTCAGTCACATTCAGGTAGCCATTCAATGTAATTTACTTTACTTTACCACTGATCGGCCTGTTAACTGCTTGGTGCGGTCGGTCACATCTCTGTTGCACACTGTTAGAAAGTACAAGGTATGTACTGGTTCCATAATTTATCTGAACCTTTTTCAGTGTTGGTCAAGTGTTGTCTTGAATGAGTTTACACTCGGTGCCATCACAATGCTCTCTGGCATATTCTTCCAAGAGTTCATAACTCTCACTCCAAAAAAGAAAGTTTGCCCTCACAATTTTCTAAACTTATGGCTTCTTCAACCTGAGGCTGTGACCTCCAGTGGGGCAGGCATCTATGATGTCTTCCCTGTCATTGTCAATATTTGTCAAATCATGTGAACTTTATTGCTGCTTTTTTATGGCTTGGTAAGGGTAAAGATGTGAGCCAGAAAATTGGCCTAACTTCATTATATGACAGCAATATTGCCTTTAAATTAAGTACAGTACAGTACTGTGATTGGTAAAGTTGGTGTGTTTAGTCAACCACTCCTTGAATGAACCATTACTGTACTTCACACCATTGCTACCACTTATCAGATTACTACAGTTGTTTAGGCAGTTGTTTTGTTCTCTGTTACTGTGTTATGACCTTCACTGTCCAGTGATAGTACAGGAGAAAACTGAAATACCCAGGGAAAATCTGGGATATATGGTAGGGTCACACTGGATAACACCCTTTTCACATCTGATTCGTGGATTTGAACACCACCAACAGATAATGTACTGTATATGGAACACCCAGAAAGCATAAAGATAAATTTCTCAACTGCACACATTTGCAGACACCCCAGTATCAGATAAACTGTACAATACAGTACAGGTACTGATGGAACACATTAAAAAAAAAAATCTCCCATAACTGATTTTCTTCAGATCAAGCTGTGGAGCGAGCTCTGCCCAGAAGTTTGATGAGATCGTCACATGCATCACATCCATGGTACCAGTGGACTCGACAGCCCCGCATCCGTCACCATGACCCTCCACGCCCTCCTCCACCTACTCCTCCCACGCCTGTACCAGCGCCTGATCTTTCAGGAGAGCAGCAAGGGGATGAAGGGAGGGCAGTGGTGGACCCTGGGGTTTTGGCAAGGTGTGACAATGAAGAGGGAGATTGTTCAGCTATACCCGAAGACACCAATAGTAAGTACACTACTGTACATATACTGAGTAGTACGCTACTCAGTCATACCTCTACCCTCCTAATAATCAATATCGTTTGAGATTTATCTCTCTGATGAGATAAAATTAACTCTTATTATATTGCAGCTCACTATTATACACTGTATAATAAATGTGAAGATAGAATAAAGGTTTTTAAGTGTTTTGTTTTGCTTTAAAAAAAGTTGACTTTGGAGGGTAATGGAAATTTTTGAGATCTTCAAATTCAACACAGAGTTCTTCAAGAACATGGGAGCCACTTTACTGGCATTTGAAAGAGAAGAACAGTCCTTATAATGTCACTATGAATGGAAAATACTGAAGGTTACAAATTAATACAGTATACAGCAATTATTAATCTGACAAGTAATGAAGATGCAAAAGGAATGTGTGGGATCAAGAATCTCATGAGAGATGAATGGATGAGAGTGCACCAAGATGTTATGGCCATATGAAGTGAATGACAAACAAGAGATTGGTTATTGAAATTTAGACAACATAGTTGAGGCAGGATACTGGGAAGAATATCAAAGGAGAAATTGAGAGACTGTGTGGATAAGTTATTGAGGTCTAGAGGTGCAGATAACGCCCAAGGAATGATTGTAGATCATCGACAGTGGAGTTGTTTACGAATGTAATAGTGGTAACATGAATAAACCCGACGACTTACATGTTCATAGGGAATTAATATGAAGTGTTGTGACTCAGTGAGAGTGTTTAGATTCATTTTGTATGCTGTACGTATATGCAAATTGAGGATAGGAGAAACCATGTTTGAATATTTTTACTTACAGTAATTTTGTAGCCCTTTCTTGGTACTTTCTGTATTTGTCTGGAGTTAACAGACAGGTAAGCATAGTTTTTCTGCCATCTAGTTTTCTCAGTTTGGAGTTTATATCAACAGATGAGAGTGGACACGCTGCTGGAGGGCCTCGGGAGTTACCGCTCCATCCATTACATTCGTGGCGGGACACCTGTAATGAAGAACATCTGGCAGAGTTAAGAGTCAAGTGTCAGGTGAGCTACTGTGTTAATTATATACTGTACTGTATCTTTCTGTGCATATCTTATACTCATTTTCTCACTACAGTATCCTGTACATGAATATGTATACATTATATATTGATTTCAAAGAGTTATCAGTGTAAAAAAAGACTGTGAGGCATTGTTCTCTGATGATAAGGATTAGTGAGAGCTTTTACCACATGTGTGATTTATTGTGCTATCTTAGAAAAGGTAATTTTTGTTTTGTTTCTTACTTATTTATTCATCTTTGCAGCAACTAATTCAACAGTGTATTGGTGGCTTACTTCTCAACCTCACCTTTGAGCAATTTAGAGAAGTGGAAGGTAAGTTGTCACCAGAATACAGTAGTGAGTACAGGATCAAAGAACTAAGATGATAGGCTACCCTGCCTATCTATTTTGACTCTACTTTATATCAATAGAATCTTTGCTGAAAGTCCTTGATTTCTATCTAATGCAACGGAGAACATACAACATGTCACCCCTTGTTAATGGATGCTCTTGCCACAGTTATTCATGCCGTGTGTTGGGCCCATGGTTGAAAACCATTTGTATTTCAAAACAAATACAGGACTACTGTATTAAGATTAGATTTTTCATAGTGCTGTATTAACTTAAACACTGTAATAATGTTCCCTTCTTTTTACTCAACTTCTTTATTTACTCCATTTGTATTTACTCCATTTGTAATAAGAATATTATGCTATCAAATGTGACCAGGATGAAGATCTCACTTTGGTGTGTGTGTGTGTGTGTGTGTGTGATGTAACATACCTAATGACACTTTTTCAGGAGCACTGAGTCGGGCGGTGTGCTGGTATCTGACATGTGAGAGGTACTGGGAGGCTGGTACTATGGAGCCACCTGAGTTCCCTTGGGGCCTGGTCACCGGCTTGGTCCTCCTCTTGACGCTAGGAGTATCTCTTGCTTACTATATTGTTTGGGTTCTCTGCGAGTGAGTGTCACATTTTTTATATATATTTTATAATGCTTATTCTACCTACTGTATACAGTTGCCAAGCCATTTTAAACTTAATGCAGGGAAAGATGATACCTCTAACCAGTATATTTATGTGTGTTCCTTCATCATAGTTTTTCTTTTAAATCAATGATAGTTTTCTGTCTATTGTTTGCCTCTGTTATGGCTACAGTGCTGTATATACTGTACTGTACTTATATATATATTGTTGAGAGTACTGTACTGACTTGTGGCTATTTCTCTGTAATTATCTATAAAACTAAAGTAGTTTCTGTTTTATTGTATTCCTCACTCCCACATCTCTCCTTTTTCTCAGAGTTATATTCTTAACCATAAGTACATGTACTCATAGGTACAACTAAATGGGACAGATACAACAGTAATTCACAGTTTTTTGTTTTAGTATATTAGACAATTATTCTTATTTTATCTTTTCCTGCATTTGCTTTTTTTTTAGAAAATATAATTCTCAATATGAGATGTCTGATAATAAAAAAGTGAGGATAATAAAATGCCCCCAGGTACAGTACAGCAGTATACAGAAAAAATTCCATTTTATTAAATTAAAATAGCATAACATTTTATCAACATGTTCTTATTTACAAAGATGCAGCAGTACATCCTCTGGCCTTACATTATGTACAGGAGTTAGAGTTCATTACTATTCCAGAGGAGCAGAGGCACCATTCCTACATAAGTTCATCTTAGTTTCTCAACTTTGGCTTACTAAGCACTTAACCTTCACTCCTGTCCTTACCACTTTCACTATGAGAAGAGACCTTAAACAGGCATCATCCTTTTGTTATAAAATACTATTCGTAGTTGAAACTCCAATATTACTCACAAGAAAAAAATCCCTTATCCCCTGAATTTTTCCGGGTACCTGTACTAGGAAAAAATTCTCAGAATTTTCCGGTAATTATGCATTAATTCATCCTCGGAATTTGCTCCCAGAACTGGAAGAAAAAAATTTGGAGAGAGTTTTCATAATTTTTCTCGAAATTTTCAGAAAATGCGCCTGATTTTCAACCTTTGAATTTGTTCTCAGACCCGGAATTTTTTTTTAAAGATTTTCTGGAATTTTTCTCATAATTTTATAGAAAATGAGCCTGATTTTCAATCTCAGAAAATTATTCACAGACCCAGAATTGAGATAAATTTTCCAGAAAAATTCCAATCAAATTTCAATTCTGGATATTGGAGAGTTCCTGCGAAGAGAGATTCTGGCTAACGGAGAAATTATTATTGTGTTTTCCTTAGTAACTCCTTTAGTATCTTAGTACATTATAGTACAGTACAGTACAGTACAGTAGTGTACTGTACTTTGTTGTTCATCTTTATTTATTACTGTTACATTCTAGTATGCCAAGCAAAGCAACAGACTCCTCACTCTTAAGTTATTGAATTATTTCTTACTTACTTTCCAATGCAATCCTTGTCTTGAATTTCCTGCTTGACATTTTCACCAAGATGCTTTGGTAGGACATTTGTTTGGTGCCATTATGCAAGTAAAGGTAGTAGAACATACAGAAAACACATTATTGAATGAGAAACCACTTGACACTGTAATTACCACTTGCACACATTATCCAAGACACCGCTTAACATTGAAAACTACCATCAAGTAATCATGGCTAATCCAGGCAAAATTGACAAATGGCCATAAAACATTGATGATGATGACCTGTGCTCCCAGTATGCATTGCTTATCACACAAACTGAAGGGAGGTCTTTGGGCATTCACTTCCAGGCTCAGCAAATTATAGTACAGGTATTAGAAAATAAATTGTGTAAGATCAAACTAATGTAAAGTTAACTCCTGTAAAGTGAGGGAAGGATGTACAGTACTATTAACAATGTATCATTTTGAAAATGATATATGTATACATATAAAAAAAAATTCTGGTACTTTAACAACTTTTGGAACTTAAGAAATATCCAGATGAAATGCAATAAGAACTGAATTTAACAAACTATGATTAAGTTTACGTTTCTTAAGGAATAAATCTTTCCTCTACATATTCTTATATGAAATTGGAAATTGATAAAAATTTATATTTTGTATTTTATATAATATACAAGTACCTGTAGTACCAAATGTGAAAAGTTTTTATTAAAATAATCAGTCCTGTGCTGTGTTTTCAATTCAAAAACTTACAAAACTGTAAGCCTCTCCAATTATCATATTTACTAATTTCCACAGGACAAGGGCTTCACTGGACAAACAGCCATTCTCACAAAATATTGAAAGTTTACAGGGGAAGTTTCTCGGTGCTTTGTTCAATGCAGAGAATGTGCATGAACAGGGGCCTGTGACATATGCTTTGGCTGAGAAAGTCTTAACCATGAGGTGTGTTTACTGTACAAAGCTAAGGGCCCAATAGAATGTTAATTCTAAAATACAGCCTTGTTGAACTACAGTTTCTTCAACCTATGTCCACCTTACCACTGCCTCACTTGTTAGACATCTATACAGTTGTCATCTATGGGAGTTTAATTTGATTTTGGTAAGTATGATGCACCTCACAACTTTACATACCTCTCTGTCTCTTAAACCTTACTCATTAGAATTCTTCAAACCTATATCAGTGTTAGACTACAAATCTTTTAAACCATTTCTCAGGTCACCTTAGCCATACCATTAAAACATCTAGATTTCATTATTTATCAAAGACATCTCGTACAACATTCAGCCAATAACAACACTTGTACTACTCCAGGTCTCAAGATGGAGGAGCAAGCACGCCAGGTAGTGTCCATGATGCAGGAGGCATCCCACCCATCAGATCTACCAAACTCCGTCATTCTGCAGCCACAGAATCAGAAAGTGAGTGTCGAGACTCCGGCTTCAATGAGGGTCCCTTATACCCCGATGCAAGTGATGTCAGCCATTTGTATAGTGAGTACGATGGGCAGTCTTATCGCTCAAGACATTACTCAGAGGACTCGCGGTTGTCTTATGCTCCAGAGGATTACGGGCCTGGCTCCAAGTACTACATCACCGAGGAACGTATGTTTAATTATGCTACCACATTTATGCCCAACTATGAACAGCGACGACTTAGACGAAATCGCTACAATTATTTAGATGACTATGACGACTACCAAGATTTTCCAGAATCTGACAAATATTATGATACATCTAGTCTAAGTAGAGAGCAGAGTGACAGTTTTATCTATGTCTCATATCCTCCTGATGTTAAAAAAAGATTTAATGAAAACAGGTGATGAAAGAATATTAGAATTTACCTTTGGTGATGCATTTAAATGAGCACCTATTTTGCCCATAATATTTCACGAGGTGTTTAATGTAGCTAAATGACTAAGAAATTGACAGTCTAATATTCCTTTCACCAAACTAGAATAGCAATTAAACTTCATGTGGTAGCTTTGTCAGGATGAGCATGACATACTGGTAAAGAAAGACAATTTTTTATACATTTGTCATTAGTTTGTCAGCCAAAGTAGAACAGACACATTCATTTTAATTTCAACAAAGCAATCAGAATGTGACATCATCATCATGAGAATTTCAAGTCATTGCAAGAAGCCAATATGGTACTATGGTGATTAATTTCAGTTGTCTTAATTTAGGAATTACATATCGTTTGTATTTACATCTACTTGTATCCGTTTTAAACATACTGTATTTTAAATGAATATGCAAGTAAGGGATGGATTAAACCACAAGCAGAGAGATACTACAAAAGATTTTAGGGGATATTGAGAGATGAGAGAGAAATGGATCACACAAGGAAAATTTCCTTAACCCTCATCTTGTTGTGCACTGACATATATGTGAAATGTCAAATGTACTGTATATGTGTTCCTATGGACCAAGTTTGTATAGTATTTGAAGAGGAACTAGCAGTGCTTTTTGAAATGTTGGTGGTCCCTTCACCCAGTGTTAGATCATGTATAAAAGTGGTGGTTCATTTGCACTTTGGAATTCTTGGGTGCCCTTTATCTATCCCAGTTGTTCATTGTCTGTGGGATCCCTGAAATGCTGCTCTCCCTGTACAGAACTCATAAGTTTCTTTGTTATTATTAAGGGTTAAGAAGTAAGGGTACCTTAGGTTTGGCTGCGGCCATATAGGACACATGATTCTCAGGCTATTCTTAGCCTAAGAAAGTGACCTGATTTAACTTTGGCTGTAGATGGTCACCTAGTTCAATCTTAGCTTTGCAGGAGTCTTCTAATATGCCTTTTGATGGACAGATGCAGGAGTGTCATGCATGATAAGTACACAAGACACACATAGAGTCTGATAGCTTGGTTCAAGTGTCACATGATGTGTTGTACATGGTGCAGTGGCACATAGTGTATTGTACAGTCTCACCAAAAAGTTCGTTAAATCTCCCAGCCAGCTATTGCTGCACTGCCTGCTTCAGGTGTTTGAAATTGTCTCAGTACCAACCAGAACATGAAACCGATACGAATGAATCTAAAGGTTCGAAGTAACAGACTCAAGTTCATACATCTGAAGCAAGCAGTGCAGCAATAGCTGGCTGGGAGAGTTAACAAACTTTTGGGTGAGACTGTACATGATGCAAAATCACATGGTGTATAGTACCATGTACAACACACCATCTAATACTGCATCATGTACAACACACCATGGTGTGTTTTACATAGTGTGTTGTACAGGATGCATCATATATGAAGTGTTGTACCTCTTGCATTCTACATGATGTGGTGTACATGGTGCATTGTACATGGTGTGTTATACATGGTGCCACCCCCACTGATGAGAGCAGAGTGCTGGTTGTACAGGGGTATTTAGCTCTGCTGCTTTACCATATATATCATGTATGTTCTGTTCATAGCTCATGACTCTACTTAGGAAAAAAAATTATTTTTATATTTAGTGGTACTCTGCCACATGTGTTTTAGCCCGAGTACAAATAAATGAAACTGTTATTCACGATAACCATACAATGAATGAAGACCAGACAAAGGACAACTGCTGTCATTGCGCTTTCACCGGAGCTGCCCTGGGTAGGATATATCTGGGAATGATAGGGGGATACAGGGGTTAGGGGCAGCACTCTGGGTGGTGGGCAAATGGGGTAAGCATTACAATTGGTGCTGGTTTGTAGACTAACCAAAAACTCCATACTAACTTATGTCATTTAAGCCCAGAGGAGTGCCATTCATTTGTTGATAAAATGTATATATTACATTATTCTTATACTGTACACAGTTTCATTATTGTTCACAGTCAAATGATGTATACTTTCTTCATAATTGGAAGTTTATAGTTGTTTACTCCTTCAAAAAACTAAGGTACCGGTATAAACGGTTGTGTTTATTATATTTCATGATTTTTTAGGCTAAAACTTGTGCAACAGTGATGTGCAATGTTTGTATTTATATTTTAAGACTAGATTATCACTGTCATTCACCTGACATGATGGCATTTAAGGAAGAGTTGGTATTATAAGTTCACCACTTTACTGATTGTGTATTTGGAATCCAAAGTGCAATACGTTGTAATAGCACAAGTACCCAATAAGTAAATTTTTCAAAGTACTATCTACTTAAAATGCAACAGTTTCTTTAAGGGTAGGATAAGGATTTTGGCAAGTGATATGGATAAGGCTATTTTCATAACTGTTAATATTGTTCTTACAGTCTACTGTTTTTCATGATAATAATATTTCACCCGGTAGCTTCGGGAGTTCTAACTCATTCTTCTATGGTCCGTCCTCCCTCCCTTTAGGATCTGCCAACTGTTGTAGACTTTGTGTAATAGAGCAAGAGTAGGACGGCAGGCCCACTAGTCACGTGCTGTACAGTAAGGCTTTGGGGTTCTGTGCTTGTGTACACTAGCTATACAGTACTTTTTTCAGCTGGTCCCGGGAAAGTCAGCTCTATGAGAGTTAATAAGCCCTGACCAGCAGCTGATCTCATTGGTTGATTTGTTTTACATATATTTGCCAACAGATGAATAGACACAAGAGCAATGCTTATGTCTTCATTGTATTACGTACGACCAACATTAGAGTAGTCAGTAATTGTACAGTTGTTGTATGTGCTGCCAGGAAATTGCACAGCTTGAGAAAGTTCTTAACATACACTCTGCTTTAATTTATATAAGTTTTTTGTATCACATTTTTTTCTATGGTTTTTGAAGAGGAAAGCATTTAATACCATACATATTGACTACATTAGACAAATTAAAGTAGTTGCAATTAAGACAACTCCTTAGTTCTTATATCCATGGGAAATTTAACTCTAATAAAACTTCCTTTACATCTTTTAGATCAATCAGAGACTTAGACAAGGGACAATAAACGCACAAAAACATAACAAAACTGTTACATTCCAGATTGAACATAGTGCCAGTAACTGTAAACTATTAAAACAGACAAAACACTTTGTATCACACATATATCCAGTGATAGTGCAGAGCAGAGGCTAAAGCAAGGTAATGTAATGCACAATGCCTAAGAAAGTTTCAGCAATAAGTAGGTAGTAGTATTAGTAGTTTAGCTGCATGCAGGCTGTGAAGGAAGATGAGCTGAACTTTGTGGTGAGTTTAAGCCCTTGCTGTTACTTAGTCTTCATCTTAGCCATGGCTGAGCTGTTGCCTCAGGGGACTTATTGCAAACATTTAAAAAATAAAAATTTATAGTTGTAGCAAGTATGGGGTAAAAATCTAGCCTATAAAGTTTGATGAATTGTAAAATAAACCTATAGTGTGGATATACAGTATAATTCATACAAGAAGATAGATGGTGAAGGCTAGTTCTATAGTCACAGTGGGGATTTAACTGTTGATGAGGAAATCTTGTGGTTTGAGACTCTTTGTTTGAATGTAAATATTATGTTGAGACTGATCCTGACTATTGTCTGTGGACTGTGTTAAGTTAATGTTAGTGCTATTACTGTGGCATATGATTTATCAATATGTCATTGTTATGGTGCAACAATGGTCATGAGATATGGAAGTGAATCCTATATATTGACCCTTTTGTGGTTGGTTCTGGTCTTTAGGTGCTCCTGGTGTGAGGTTCTGTAATGAAGTAAACATTACTGAACTCATCTGAGGAGTTGCTTTGTACATACAGAGAGTGAAGTGTGAGCTTAGATTCGAGAACTAAACAACAGCCATGGAGTGGAGTAAGATTTGATGTAAGATAAGAAAGATGTGATGTTAGTCGTAATATTGGTGATAGTTTGGGTTTAGTCACACACTGTACTGTACTTGTCATGATAACCTAAGTTCTGTGACAAGAGATGATGTTGAGACCCAAGAATTTATGGTGATAATTCTCAAGCAAAACATATCTTCAGGTTACTTAGCTGCCCAATACAACAACAATACCTAGTGTGTGATTCTAGTGCCCCTATGTGGAATATGGCCACTCCAGGAGTGCTTTACATAATTTATTATGTAAATAATGTACATCTTGTAACTGCCAGCTTGTAGTTGGTGTTTGTCAAAGAATGTTAGTTTTTCTAACTGCTTGGGATTTGAGCCCTTATATGGTATTCATGTCCATTGCACAGAAAGGTATACACATACCTTTATATACACCCCCTGTAGTTCTCCTCACAAGTCCCTTCCTGCAGTCCTCATCTCCTGCTCTCATCATGTAATTTCTAGTTTTCTGAGCGAGGACTTGTAATGTTTAGTATTGTAATCACAAACTGGATTGAATGGTTATATAATGAGCATTAAGCACCATGTTTATATTATGTTCCATGGAAAGGTAGATTCATTTATCATTTATATACAGTACTAATGTATAGGCCTCTTCACATAGATTACATGTTATAATTTTCATCATTGCTTTTCACAAGTGAATAAGTATGATTACAATGAGCTTCATATTAACAACTTAAATAATTTTTATGATCAGATGTTGTAGTGGTTGTACAGTAATATTTTTAATAGTCTGTTAAAAGAATAAAAAGAGTTGGTAATCCTTTGATAATAATAAGGTACAGTCAACAAAAAAAATTCTGCACCTTTACGGTGTTTTACAATATGACAAACCGGACCAAGAATTCTGAATAATACTCATTTACTAAGGTGGTTCCTGTTCATTTCTTTGTACTAATTATATGTGATATGCAGAATATGTCATATTGGTTACACATTGCATCACATAATCAGAAATACTGTACCAACCTTACCAAATGAACAAGGCCTCAGTCAGTGATCATTACGAAGGCCATCAGATCCAGAGGTGCAGAGAAAATTTTTGTTGACTTTACATCCAGCATAACAGAGGAAGTCACATCTTCATTTTCATGGTCAGTCTGACAGATACCAAGATTTTATAAGGAGTTATGATAAAATTAGCACACATTAAATACTGATACTGGCAAGAATGAAGTATGCTCCAAAGGCAGCTTTTATTTGTCCACTGTTAACAGTCATCAATAAATTGTTCACTGAACTTATTAAATTTTATTGGTGTGAAAAAATAATATAAAATGAAAATAGTAACTACCAAGAATGATCTGATATTCCTATTATATATTTCTTGGTTTATATGCCTTAAAGATTGATCCATAATGTTAAAGAAATGCTAAAACTGAACAACAGGGTCAACATTACTTCATTTTATTTATATTTGCATTTTGGATTTACTGCCTTCCCACGACCACTACTTCTGGCTTGTGACTGTTGAAAAAACAAATTGTAAGTCATGTGTAATTGTGAATTGAGTGAAGTTTAGTAAATCCTCTTCTCTAGCATTACACCTTTAATCCACATTATCTTCTGCATGTCTTAGTTATCACCTCACACCAAACCATTCCAAAACTTCCATGATGAACCAATGTTTATTTTATTTTTATATTTAATTGATTCAAGGTGTCAGGTCTTTGTATCCAGATCCTTAAACTTTGTCATCTCCATTTTCACGGGTCATATCTGAGGTATCCACTCACAGCAAACATCAATCCTTTAGTAAGAATACAGAAGCAGGAAGTTATTAGATTAACACTGTATTCCTGGATTAGCCAACTGTCGTGTACTTGCCAGCTAAGTGCTTAGCTAGTTATGAGAATATATAGCAGCTTATGTGAGGGGAATAGTATGAGGGGCAGTAGAAGAACTGGATATCAAAACACAATGCTGACTGAACCCCAACTAGTTTACTGAAGCATCAGGAAGTAATACATACAATCAGTACAATGATCTTTTGCTATTAATCTTGTTCAAAACTGTCTATACTATAACTGCTACATTACCAGATCCATAATAATGAAGCTTAGGAAAAGTCTTTGAGATCAGGATGTGGCATATTAGCAGACGTAACTGATCATTATAAATATATGGCAACTGCTCCTTGTAGGTCAGAAGTGCAGATTCCATTATGAACTTACTAAAGTGAAAAAAAGGTTTTCTGCATAAATGTTGAGTGGTCATCCTAAGGTTACTACACAGCTAGATCTAGTGTGTTGTAGGGTATTACAGTACTGTACTGTGCCATAATAGAAAGTAGAGTCTAATATGTTCATTTAGGTATTAAGAACAAGACTATGTAGCCTTAGTACTTCAGAGAAGAAAGAACTGATATGGTTGGGATGTTCAAGTGAGATATATATATATATATATATATATATATATATATATATATATATATATATATATATATATATATATATATATATATATATATATATATATATATATATATATATATATATATATATATACACAGGTACATATATATAAATTAAGCAAATGACAAATTGGAGGTACTACAGTATTCTAAACTAAAGATTGATCTAATATTTTGAAGGCAAGTGAACCAAAATTCATCATATAATTTTGCGTATGCTCTCCAGTAGACATGAAAGATCACTTAAAGAAAACATTACAATACAGGTATACTTTTTCAATATCATCTAAAATTACTGTATTGATGTTATGAACATACAGTGTCACGTTACTATTTTATCATTAAGTACTGTATACAGTAGCATCATATCTGTGATGCCACTACCTAGTCCTGTCCTATTAATTTTAAATTATTACTTATTTCCTCAAGCACAATCTGTTAACACTTACCACCATACAGTTGTCACCTCTTGGAGCCCCCTGCCATAAGCACTTCATTCACTGCAGTTCTAACTTGAGCCACCTTGGACTGTTCCCTACACACAGAATGTAAGTACCCCCCAAAAATTTTTCATCTACATTTTAATCACTTTAATTACTGTATATCATTTCTGTATATCATTTCTTAATCCTTGTCTCTCCTAATTTCTTATACTGGTAAAGTGAAGGCCATGATCAAGTGTTTCAAATACTATGCTGCACAGTACAGAACTAACTTTGGATCAGAAAGTCCTAGCTTGGAGCCTTGTTTACCAAATATATGCCCCAGTCAACTCAGGTGTGAATTGTAATTACCAGTAGGTACTCTGAAAACCTATTGACCTGTATTGCCTTTGTATGTTAAAGACATAGGGGTATTACAATGGAGACTGCAGGCTACCTGATAGTTTTGGCTACAGAGATTAGCACTGTGCCTGGGTATACTGCTACAGTGTATAGTCATCAGTTTTACTTTCTGCCTTTCAACCACTTACACAGGCTTAACATTACTTCCTGACCCTAAACAATGGTTAACTGCTCATTATTTCTACTACTCATTACTGAATTACCCAACAATCACACTCTCATACTCAAATAAGCTTCCCTTCCTCTCCTGTATTCCACAGTCTGCCATCACTTTCCACAAATTCCTCTCCATCGGCTGTACAATGATACAGGTTTAACCTCACTAATCTGGATTTCCATAAACCATAAATTCCAGTGGTCAGAACAATTAGGAAATAATGTACTGTATAAAAAATGCATGTTAGTTGTATCAGAAAAAAAAAATTAAATTTGAAAGATTATACAGTATTATACTGTACTACTTGAAAACTGTCTGGTTTTTATGGCGCTCTAACAAAAAAACAGTAACACACAATTTTGTAATACTTAATGCCACGTTGTCAATTTCATTTGAAAATCCTCTTTTGACATACCCAGTATTCATTTTTCAATCTAGGACCCTCTACTGTAATACTGTACTACTGAGAAGGTAACAAACAACTTTTAGATTATTGCATAAAGCACTAAATGTTGTATTAATGATTTAATGACTACAAGAACATAAACTGTGTATTACCAAACACTGTACAGTACAGTATTGTGATTCTTTAAGTAATTTTTACCTGAGAGCTTGTAAACTCCTATGAATCACAAAAGTCTAAGATATGCATAAGTCCCAAGGTTACCAGATTAGAGGAGTTCAATTTTTATACTGGTACACTGCACATACAATTTTCTCATGAAAATAATTTACTTTTCTTACTTTCATCCACTTCGCCACTGATCGGCTTGTTAGCCACACAGCAGGTCAGTCATATCTCTGTTACACACTGTTGGTCACCATAGTTTTTCTAAGCAATATCATAGGAATTTTAAAAGGCTTTAACAAAATACTGGTCATTATTACGGTATGCTGACCTGTGGTAATTGTGTTAGAGCTGTGGTATCCTGGTGTGGAGCTGTGGTGTGCTTGGATAAATTATGGTCCAGAGAAATGACTATAGTGACCCACATAGGATTTTACTTAAAGGAACTAACAGCAGGGCCATCAAAACTAATGGGGAAAATAACTATTTACTGTACAGGTACTACATTGACTGTATGACCTACATTTGCTGCCTCTAATGTAGGTTGTAACATGGAAAAATATACAAAGAGTACGGTACAGTACTTGTAATTACGAGCAAATTTAATTCATTTTTGAACTTGTAGGTAGTTGAGCTGTCAGCTTTGAGTGCTTGCAAGCTTTATCTGCTGCACTATTACAATACAACTACAGTACTACATAGAGACAAATTAAGTTCTTCTAGGAAGCTCTGTAGGTACAACATAATGCAGGTAACTTATGTAGAACTATCCCTGACCTTGAACCCAGTACAGTACAGTACAAGGTTGATCACTCCGATCACAGGGAGTCATTTACGTAGTTAACTATGGTTCTTTGGCTTGTTACCACCTTTGCCGGCGTTTCACCTGTTTGCTGCAGGTCTTCCCTTACTGCAAACAAAGATTCTTTGTTTCATGCAGACAACAAATAATATTAGATTACAATTTGCGGCACTGTTTGCCAGTATATTTATGATATGTGACTGGTATGACTTTCTCAATCTTAGCTACTGTGATTTAGCTTTTTTTATATGATTTGTCACAGATTTGTAAAGGGAAGGGACTTACTGGACTGACACAGAAGTAATCATGCATTTGAATTGGTCACTTTTGTCTTAAATAAACTTTTATTGATATATTTCCAAGTGAACAAATGTTAGTTTGCATATTCAAGTATTTTTGAGGTATGTATCTTGACCCTGGTGTGTCATGTAATACTGTAATGTGATAAAAATGTTCATTAGAAAAATTTTAATATTACTAATATCTTAGTGCACAGTTTATGAGATATCTGTGAACTGTTAGTGTTATACACCTTTGAAAAAATTTGAATGAAGGAATCTATTTTAAAGGAATCTTAGAACATTACATTGTCCCAGACTGTCCTAAAATTGCAACATATCGTCAACACTCATTACCTGAATGGTTTGTCTTGATAATTAAAAAAAATCTCAAACATGAACATGAAAGAAATATTCAAAGCTTCATATTTGTGTGTAAATATTTACAGCCTTACATTTCTTATGTCTTACATTGTCCTGTCATGATGACTAAACACTGGTGTGCTATCACATGATGGCCTTACGGTATGATTCCTTCTATTTACTATTTTTCCCTGGTTCATGTTTTGTTTCACTTGTAAATTCTTTTTGATAATATGTGTGTCAATGGCACAATTCTAGGTATTATATAAATTTTTTTTAAAGTTTTGTGCATATATTAAGACAAGATAATTGCACTTCATATAATAAATAAAGAATGTACACAATTTCTCTAGATTGGATTACCACTTACCACAATACTGTACAGTATACAGTACTGTACTCGAAGTGATGCATCTAACAACTGGTGTACAGTATATGTATTTCTTTAAGTAATTTGAATACCAATATTGTTAATGTTGCTTCACTAAAGTTTAATTACTAGTATTATATCCTTGCATTAAGATTATATGCAGTTAAGATTTATAAGACATTTCACTTCCAACATCACAACTGTAATATATTTTCACATCTTATGTTGATCTTAAATGTCCCTGTAAACAATGAAATGCTCCACATATCCCATATCTCTGCATAGGTCAGCTTGCTTAAAACATTGTTTAGTAACCCCCCCCCCCCTTTTTTTTTACATGAACTTTCATCTCTAAAGTGGGTTGCATAATTATGAATACATAAGGCTTTCAAAAGTACAGTGCTCCCTCACTTGGAGTGCTGTACAGTACAATACGTACTGTAATTCTGTTTGATCTCCAGTCAAGAACGTCCAAGGGAGGGCTATCAAACTGGTGCTGGTACTGTACTCAGACACCTCACGTACAAAGACATATTAAAACACCTTCAATTGCCGATTCTTTACTAAGAAGGGCAAGAGGCAATTTATTATAAGTCTATAAGCACCTCAAAGGACATTACTTAGTCAAATGTACAGTTGCCGACAACATAAACATACTTAATGGCCAAAAATCCTGCATGTAAGTGACACTTTGGTGTGCCTTGCTTTATAGAACATGGGATAGGTGACGGAAACATTGTGACACGACCTGAATGTTTGTATAAGTACTGCAAAATAATGCTACCAGACGTGTTGAGAGTATTTTGTTGGCGACTGTACATGATTATGCTTATCCCATTCACCACTCTACAGCTTACTGGCTGGTCAGATGATTGTTTTTTTCTACTATGCATTGTTGGCAAGTACTACACACTCTTGAATGTCTCTGAACTTGTGGCAGTGTTGATCAAGTCTGGTCTTAAATGAAATCACATTCATATTTGGAGTTGGCAGATGGCCACCACACTAAGAGGTCAAAGCCTCAAGTTAAAGATGATATTTGTGCAGAAAACTGTCAAAGATAACTAACTTCCTTGGATATAAAGTTATGAACTCTAGGAATAACCTGCCAGAGAAAGTTGTTATAGCAACATATGTGAGCTCCCTTAAACCCAGACTTGACCAACACTGGCACATGTCCAAGACCTCATACATGCTCAGTACTGTACTTGTCAATAGTGCCTAACAATGAACTGACTGACCACCCTACTGGCTACAAAGATGACAAGTGGTGAAGAAAACAAGTAAGTAACTGGGAAAACAAAGGATAGAGTCTAGGAATGACTGAGGCCATCCATTACAGGATTTTTAACACATATTAGTGTACTGTACAGGTACTTTATATGGTATTATAGCCCTTACATTACATCAGCTGTACAGTATACTAAACACAACCATAAGAAATTTTACAAGTCAATAGATAACTCATATGTTCGTGTCTTATGGTGAAATAGGCTGGTAAATATTTGCAGTATGCTCCCTGAAACTTTTTCTGTTTAACTGTCCTGTTCATTATAGTGCATGCACAAAAAATAAGACACAAGGGACTGACCGGCAGTTTATGTCACATTACACGATTAACAACCATTCTCCAGGTACAGTATAGTAAGCCTAATGATATTAAGATCTTGAGTACTTATAGGTAAACAACATATTCTCCTGAAAACATGAGACATGGGGTATTCCAGTAATATTTGGAAGCATTTAAGGAGTTCCAGAACATTCAGAGGTTAAAATAGTCATCCATCTCAGTTATTCAAAAGAGTGTACATTTGTTATCATCAACTTGAACGTCTTCCTTACTGTGTATTAAGTCACTTCTTATGATACTCTTACTCCCTATAAATCTAATCTTGTTAATGGTACGTGATTACACTACCGGTAGTTGTTTTCTTTGATGCATCAAATGATTTGCTCATATTCTTTGACACTTTTTTTTTTCAAGTACAAAATCCATGACTTCTTTAACTGTTGGTTTTGATCAGCATAATTTAGACTACACAAAACAGTCTGCAGTCCCAACACAATTTACCATTGTTGTCATTATATTCTTCTAGAAATCAGTTTCTTTGACAGCAAAGTGCAAACTAATACAATCATACAAGCATTAAAAGACACACACACTATCTGCTATGTGTTTCAATGCAAGTGTTTGTTATACAGTACACTATTTGTATTATGCACTGTATAGTATAAATATTATAATTCATCTCTTTACTCATTAGAATTTTGTATATAAAATGACACAAACTAAAAGTAAGGAACCAACTTTTCAAATGCTCAGTTGTGAAAAAGATATGATATAACAGACAGTGGATTCAGATAATTATTGAATCCTGTGGTTGTGTTCAGTTAGCTATAATAATGATAATAATAATAATAGTCATACATATACTGGTGAAAGTTAAGAATTATTGTTGTTCATTCATGATTCTTTGCCATCATTCATACCACAGGAAGGCTTTGTCGTCTTCCATAATAAATTCTCAAACTTCACCCTATCTATAAAAAGACTGTTGTTTCCTCTCCTACCTTCCTTGTCTCCATTTACTGTACTGTATAATCTACTTTTACTTCTCATTATTTCTGCCATCTTCTGGTTTCCTTGTTGTGTACATTGCTAAAATAATGCTTATGGTGCTGTACTGTACAGTTTTTACCGATACATATTGCTTGACATAAGCAAAATGTGATTGTTATCTTTTATGTGATATCCAAACCAATAACATCTACAAAATTCTTCATCACATTTTAACAATGTTCTTCTTGGGTCTCTGTTACTTTGAAATGTTTAGATGAATATGATTAAAATAGATCAATATAACAAATCTAGCCTCACTCTTACCATATAGTTATGCATATACAGTAGTATTCTGATATACTAATACTCTGCAATTGTTTTGTTTGTGATAATACTGTAGTGTTTTCATACAACAACATATTAAATTTATTAATACAATAATAGGTATTGTAGTGTCACCCACTGGAAACTACAGTACAGTATTCACTTAAAAAAAAAAGTGGTTGATTACCTAAATACAAAGTTAAATGATATGTTTGTCACTTATCCTAATTATGTGTGTGGCAAGACCTAATCCAGAAGAAAAAAAATTCAGTTGGCAGACACTAATAATACAAAGGTTTTCTCATTAGTAGACCATAATTTGGTTTGCTTTAGTCATCTAATGGCAGTACAGTCCTGTACTACTGAAGGAGAGGATGTCCTTTTCTTCATTGTTGATTTCCTCTTTGGATTCTACAGAACTGTAACACCTCCACACTTTCCAGCAGAGTGTGTCATTGTCTATTCCATATATTTTATTGCTTCCTCTTGCTTTTTTATAAATATTTTTCTTGCTTCCCTACTTTTAATATCCCCTTTCTGCAAGATTCACTCTTTTCTCACATTCCTATTTCTTAGCATAAACAAGTACTGTAGAGACTGCTCACATTATAAGTCGACTGGGCAACTTTTTTATATATGTATGCTCATAGCCTTATATCAGGCCTTCAGGAGGAAAGTATAGCAATGGTACAGAGCAAAAATAATTTGAGAATATTCTCCATTAGCCACCTGGTATCAATGTGCTCAAAGCCTCAAGGTATGGCACGATGATTATATGCAATTTATTTTATTCACTATGCTACTGTTATATAAACTACAGTATACAATAATTATTGTAACATTTAGCCATTGACTTGCAATCTATCATTCTCTGAACCATTATCAATTTCATATGATATCCAACATTTTCTACAATGGATGGAAGTTGTTTCGATGATGTTCTGGATTTGTATCATGTTGACAATAAAAAGGAAATTTGAATATGAACTAGAGTGTTTAGTTTAATGGAAGATTATGAAATTATATGCCTTTTACTCAAAATTACATAATGAAATTTACAAAGGGGGCATTTCTGCTTATGATACGGGTGTCAGGTCAGTTACAGAGACAAGTGCTAATCTTGTACATTACCTGGATAATATCACTCATTAAATTCATAAACATAAGTTCACACAGTTTGGAACATTTTAAAAACATCAATTTAATTTTTGGGTCAGCATTCAATGGACAGAATAAGATGCTGCATACCGTACACCAAATAATACACATCGAATAAAATTATTGTTTCTTATTGGTAATACAGTAACTCTAAACAGTGTACAGTATACAAGTAATGTTCTCAATCAATGATAAAAATATCAAAAAGCTTAATTCAAATCATAACTACTGTATTAAATCACTTACTTAAACTTATTCTCTTTATCCTTTGTCAGTTTACTGAAGGTCAAACAGTTACTCACTTCTTACTGTTGGCAGGTACTGGCCTGCCTGTACAGGCTCTTGAATGTACATTACCTTGTACATTATCTGAAAACAGCATCAGAAAAGGTGAATTTATCTAAACCTCTTGGTAATAAAACAGAAATGATTTAGCCCTAAACTCTAAGTTGTCTTTTGATTATGGATATTAATAATCTGACAGTAGTCTAAGAATTATTTTAGTTAACATGTGTTGTTATAGGTGTGTATTGTATATACGGTAGAAACTATCTTTGCACAAACTTCATGCAAGTGGTTAAGTGTTGTGACTGTCATGTGTATTTCATCAATTTATTATTTTTATAAAGTAAAGATGAAAAAGCTGTGAACTTGTCATTGACTTGCAACCATGTGTGAGCCTTGTTGTTGTACATCATTATTGCTACTGTTAATGGGACTGTGTAATCTGTAAGCATTCATTTGCATCAGTGGATCCAGGGGGGTTCAGGTGGTTCGACCATACACCAAAGACTTCAAGTTATGAAAAAAAAAATAGACAAAACTTTGTTTCAACATCACCATTCACACTAAACTATTCAAATCAAATACTGTACAGTATTATGGAAGAATGAGGCATTTTGGTACAGCAGTTGCTTACTGTAATATTGCCACCTTGCTGGGATTAATTGTTCTTACTTTCAGTCAGATAATTTGAATCCCTTGGTAATCTGGGTCTGCCCTAAATTGTGATTATCTTTCCAAAGTGTTACAATTGACAATAACATCGTTCTAAAAGGTAATATTATTTTAGTAACTTGTATCTAAAATATTCTCATATGAGCAATGTATTACTACTCCTGAAGTTTGGGATCTAATTCATACAATCTGGAACATAATTGGAAATGTAAAAAAAATTTGGGTGAGTAAACTTGTGAATTGAGCAAAGTAGATTTGGGTTCTAAGTTGTTCCTTGATAACATACCACTTCCTTAAATTTAAACATAATCCCAAATATCACCATTCATGTACAGGTACTCCTTAAAATGTTTTGGTGGGGAAAATGTAATAAATACCTTAAAGCACCCTGTTCCTTGATTTTCTAAATCTTTGTTTAATAAAGTGATAACACTTAATGTTTCTTGTTTATGGAAATTACTTATCCACCTCCTCTGTTCAAAGGAATTTAAATACAGTACAGTACCTGTACAAGTTTGGTATACACTGTACTGTGCACAGTGCATTAGTATATCACACAAGTACCATACCTGGTATCCATACATTACTAAACAGTGGTCCCCTCTATATACCGCACAATACGTGAAAAAGAAGATAAAGAAAAAATTTGATATGAAGCAAAAAACTGTACAATGATGCAGAAAAGGAGACTGAGAGAAATAGATGAGAAAGAATAAATAATGAAGCTAAAATAAATCAGACTTAGACTTAGTCTAAAAAAAAACATTTACTAACATTAATTTGGGGGAATTTTGGAAAAGTGTGTTTTGGAGGGATTTGGAAAAATTATTTTTTGAAAACGTTTGTGGGATTATTACTTGGGAAATTAACTGTGATTATTACATGGAGAATGAATAATCATTACCTGGGGAAAAAATACTGTAACGATTACGTGCTTTAAATAATTCCTTAAAACAAGCTTTTTCTAGGTAAAGCAAAAAATGACAAAGAAAGGCTGATAAATCTTAAGAGCCCTAGTTGATGTTGTAACGCTTCAACAGGGTGGGTCTTTAATAAAGGAAACATTACCAGGTGATTACCCTTTAATTTGTTTGTTTTGGTTAACTGCGGCATTTAAATGTATATGAACTTAGCGTTAAAATCTAAATCATTCGTCTTCGTCAGACACATTTCCCTCGGCTGAGCAAATGGATATAAATAGAAAGTATCGGAAAATTTGAGTATTATTAGGGAAAAGGAATATTTCCCTCATTACTTTCTAAGGTGACGCAGTTACACAAGGCGGTGAATTTGATTTATAAAGACAATGACAGCACTTCTCAGTTACTTTCCTATTATCTGGTTATGTGTATGAAGCATTATGAACCACTGATGGCGTCAATATCTTCTTATTTCGTTGTTAATTACATGGACAACAAATTCATTTAATCCTGACAACTTATTTATGGCCGCCACAATAAGTACAACAATAATAAATAAAAGAAGACAAAAGAGCATAGTTTTTAGTACACAACACATATAAATAGATACCATTTATAGGTTTTGAATATATATCGTTGTGTTATTAGATTTCGATTCTTCCTTGTAGTGCCAAATAGAAACTACTTCATGTCACTTTTTCCCATTGAGTGACTATTCTGTGTTGATCTTTAACTGTGATTGCCATTTAAATCTTCCATAGTATTTAACTCTTTCTATTAAGTTTTATTCAAGTTTTGGAGCGATTTTTTGAAAGATACAGACCATCCTCTTACAAAAAAGGAGGTAAGAGTCATATTTCTTTACTTGTAAGGTCTATATAAATCATAATTTGTAGTTAAGTTTCTTAGATTTTGTCCATTTAAATGTATGACCAAAGATGACATGTTGCTTAATTACATCATACCAAGTATATTATTTCAGTCTTTTGCTGGTAATTTGCTTTAATGGAGTTGTTAGTGAAGTAAGTCATTAGCAACAGCAGCCGAGTTAGACCTGAGAGTTGCCATGGTGATGAAACAGCTGCTGATGCTTAGAGATATAAGAGAGTCTTTAAATCACCTAATAGAATGAAATAATGCCCAGATACAACTGAAAATAATCCATGGGACCGTATAGACTTGCGTTGTAACCCCAATGATACCCCCAGTAGATTAGAATCTAAATGGAGCTAATATAGAACTTAAATATACACTGACCCCAAGAGGAATGGTTAGGTCAGGGTAAATGAAATGGACCCAATTTAGTCTAGTGTGATCCACATTGGGTTTCTTTTACAGCTGTATAAATATAATATGGATGTGTTTAGCTTGTTTATGTGTACTGGGAATAAGGATTAGTCAAATTTGGTGATTCAGCAAATGTGGTGTTTTAGTTTCTCATAAGAGTAAGGTTGAAGGCTATAGCTTGTTAATAAAGGGCATGCAGAGGATTGCCACTTTAGTTATTGGGACGTGATCTTAATGCACATGGTAAATATACAAAGGACATTTATATTTTATGCATAAATTGGAAGTCTCTTGGAAGAGCAAAGAAGAAATAACTATTAACTTAGAGGAAATAAATATGTAATCTCCATACATGAGCTCATGGTCATGCCAGTAAAATCTTCTTGGGTAAAACTGTAATACTAAACCATTTACTGTACCGTACTATTAGAGGCAACTATATCAAAGTAAATCTTGCAAATATATTATTAAACATATTTTCATCTGGTGTCATAAACAGTTTTAAAGAAACATAAATAATTTTGTAAAATTATTGCCTGTCAAATATAACTTAGGTATATGCATGTAATTTAAAGGTCAACCCAACCATTCTGCAACAGCCTTAGTCCTTAAAATAGATTGTGAGAAGATGAGGTTGCTTATTGTGGCTGAGAGCTTAAGTGTTGTGAGAATACATGTGTTGTGTGTGTGTGTGTATGTGTGTATGTATGTGTGTATGTATGTATGTATGTATGTATGTATGTATGTGCTACCTCTTTTATATAGCTATTGGGATCAGTTTTTTATCTGGAGGCTAAACCAACCACATAGTCAGCTGTAACTTCCCTGAGTTAATTCTTAATCTTATGTGTTTTTTTTTCCTGTAATTTCTTGCACTTATCAGCATACTCCTGGAATAATAAAAAATATGTTGGAGGAATTGCACCTTTCATACTTTGGTTGTGTATAAACTGTTAATGGGGATGAGTATCTGAGGATGAAAATCAGGTGCATTTTCTGGAAGAATATTCAGACAAAATTTCTCCAAACCTCTACATTCTGGGTATGGGAACAAATTTTTCAAGAATTCTGAGAGATTACGTCATGCTCTGACACTTTCTCATGTTTCCTCGTGTTCCAGACACATGGGTTGGCTAGCTGCTTGGATAAATTGTGCACTTAGTTCATACTCTGCTGCCATTGTACTTTCACTTTTATCCTCTTTGCCACTGATCGACTCGTTAGCTGCTTGGGCAGTCAATCATTTCTGTTACACATTGTTGTGATGGCACTCTCAGTGCTGTCACAACACTCTCTGGCAGAATGTTCCAAGTGTTTACAAATCTCACTCCGAAAATGTTTGCCCTGACAATTTTCTGAACTTGTGGCATCTTTAACCATGAGCTGTGACCTCTAGTGGGGTGGGCATCTACCAGATCCAGGTATGAACATTCGACTGAGCAATGCCCTCTAAGATGTTTATAAACTTCAATTATGTCGCCCCTTGCCTGCTTATACAGTAGTATAGCTAGGCACTTGGGCATCTGCAGGATTTTTTCCAGGGGAGTGCAAGAAAGTACGACAAGACGTGACATGAATTTATGAAAAAAATTGGATCATGTGTAATCGAGTTACCGTACTTTCAAGTGATGTATGATCAACAATATCACTTAACACCGCTGTCACCAAATTATGAATCACTAAAATTCTCACAGAGTTGACCTTAAGCATTAAAAATTCACAATAATAATTCATTTCACATCATTAATCTTACTAGCTGTCTGTCATGATGGTGATTTGCTCTGAACATTAACAGCATAATTTCAATGGTTAAATACAGTAACTACTGCAGGTGGCGCTTATCTGCTCAAGAACAATCACTCGCGTCTTCAATAAAGGCTTTGTTTCTATCTAACACTTTATGGCATGCACTCTGAACAAGCACAATCTAGAGAAGCATTCAGTAGATATTGTTAATTGAAGCAATATCTTGACATGTCTCGGCATACTAAATGATCGCTCTATTTCACATGTGGAGGCTGGAAGTGTCAAGGAGATCATTCTCAAATAGCAGGAAACAATCACACTGCTTCAAAAGATCACAAGGACAAGGTTGCACTAGTGTAATACTTTCAGATTACCTCCAGTTCTAGTTATCCCCGCAGTCATTTGACCCTAGGTTGAAACTGTCCCCTCCAGTTTCAAATAACACCCTATTTCTCACAGCTAATTTGGCCATATAGCTAAGAAAATAGACTAAATTTGATTGAATGCTTGTTTGTGTGGTTATATAAGTACAGGAGTGAATTTTTAAAATGTAATAAATTGTATTTACAACAATAATTTTATAATGTTAATGACCAATTCTTGGCATCAAAAGACTTAGGTAAAATTTGATTAAATCCATTAATACTGTACTCTCAATATATCATGACAGTGTAGTCTTAAAGAGGATGTCACATTTGTATGTAGGCCTACATCTGTGGCAGTCTGTGGTATAATGGTCAGCATGCTCGCCTCACAGGAGAGTGGATCAGAGTTCGAGTCTCGGGAAAGTTTCTTGACACCATTTGCCTCTTGTCTACCCAGCAGTAATTGGAGAGCTGGATGTTAATTGATTTGCGGATCGTATTCCGGGGTAATGGTTCGTCAGTGCAGTTGGTGAGTTGTTCGGACTTCTCAGACTATTCCATGACACTGGGTCATGCAACGCATTAACTCAGGGTGTGGTTGTTGTGTTGGCGACAGCTTCTATACCTTAAACAAATTCACGCCTAGGTGGCCCTAGGGCAGGCCATCCTCAAACATGAGGCGCAGCCATTACAGTCCAGTTTTGTTATTATATCTGTATTTATGCATATGCCCGTAGGTGTATGTGGGATTTACTAACACTCAAAACACCATTTCATATAAGTACGTACAGGGGTAATTTGAAACTAGATTTTTATTACCACTAGGGATATTGAACCGAGTAAGAACAAACCCCAGGTATTTTGAAACTAGGTTCAAATTACTGGGGGTTAATCATCTGAAAGAGTGGTAATTTGAAAATGTTAGACCAGAATCAGATGCGGTTTTCTTCTGGGAATGTTAACGCTGGAGCCACATTTTAAACTAGGACTGCGACTCATCAGCAAGATTATCGATGTTGTAGATATCATATAACTGTGCTATTTTTTACTGCATTCAGCAACCACTGGATCTTCTCTCACATTACCACCACAACTTGGTTTTGCAAGTGACATGTTGGGT